TTTATATGTTTATATATTTAAATATATATGTTTATATATTTAAATAAATATGTTTATATATTTAGATATATATGTTTATATATTTAAATATATATATATATATATATATATATATATATATATATATATATATATATATATATATATATATATATATGATATGATATGATATATATATATATATATATAATTATTTATATATATATATATATATATCTTTATATATATATATATATATATATTTAAATATATATATATATATATATATATATATATATATATAATATATATATTATATTATATATATATATATATATATATATATATATATATATATATATTAGGGTGCACCACAAGTTTTTTTTTACAATTGATTTGTCTAGTAATTTAATTTAATCCTTTGGCTGGGTTAGGCAATTTGTAAAAAAGAAAAATGTGTTTAATCCCTTGGATTAGGACAAATTTCTCCTTCATGTCTTTAGGCATAGATTTTAATTATTTTTAGTGTTAATTAATCAAGAATCAAAATTGATTAAATAATTAATACATATTCTATGTATTTTTTTGTAAAATGCAGGTAATTTAATCGTGGCATTGAGAAGTAAGCTTTTCTTTAGAACTGCCAAACTGCAAAAAATATCAGAAAAGTGATTTTTTTTACATAATATAACACTACAGTTGCAGCTGACATAAACTAATCATGAGATTCAATTGTATTGACTTTACATTGGTTTGCTTTGATGGTACAAACTTTTTACCTTGGTGGTGCATGATGTATCATAGCAATACAGTGTCACAGGGTGACAAACTTGGATTTGTTCAAATAAAATCCAGGTTTATAGCAGCAAAAATTATGTTCCAGTAGCCAATATGCCAATCATGACAGAACATAGAATATTTTAACTTCATAACCATAATAACAAGTTCTGTTCAATTGATAAAAGTTGTTGTTCAGATGTGTCCTTGGACTATGCTGTGCAAACTCAAAGCTATACAAACATTATTAACATCAACATTTCAGCTGTGGCTGAAGAATGCTGAAGCTATTTGCAAACCCTGAAGATCTAGCATTCTTCTAGTCAATAAAAAGTGACAGAACAGCCAGTTCTCACACAAATGACTAGTCTCTGTTCAAAAAAAATTCAAGCACTGGAGCATATGAAATGTTCAAATAATGGTATTGAGGCTTCAAAGGCAACAGTATAATCTGAATTAGATGATGTTGAGAGCAATGCTAACTTTGCTTCTGATGAAGATGAAGTTATTAATTCAGATAATGCAGCCAAAAAAATGAATCTAATGGATTGAGATTGCACTTTGTGAATCACAAATAAAATAACCAGGTACAATTATCTGTCATCATCATTTACTGTGCTTGGTTATGACCAGTAAGGTGCATGTCAATGTTACATTTGTAACTCATGCGTTTTTTGTTTAGTAGCTCACATGCAAACAAATAATTATGGAATGATATCCAGTTTTACCAACGCTTAGTTGCTTTTAAGTCTGTTAACAAGTTTATTGCAAAATCTGTAATTTGAGTACTAAATTGCCATTTTTGGTATTGTTTACTCTGTTTAGAACATGTGTACCATTTTCAAGTTATGTGCTTACAGGTGTTATGCAGGTTTTCAGACCGCCATATGCCATTGATTTAAAATCTGCTAGGCATCAATTCAGTAATGGATGGAATAATCTCTAATTTGTTCATTGGCGGCTCAACATGGCTGTGTGTCCTTGTTAGAGAGGACTATTGGTTTATAGTTTCCTGGATTTAATTAGATCTGAGTTGTCTTTGGCTTCTTGCCAGTGAGTGAGGTGAGTTATAGATGTCTGATATATTTAGTACAGAGAATGTTGCAGTGAACATTCTTAATGATTGCCTTAAGAGAATTATTAAAAATGCTTGATCAGATGGAAACTTATACATTACTGTTTAAGTTTTTGTTTAAAAAAATGTATCGTGCACAAATGTTATGAATTCAATTGACATGTAACTGTTGTAGCAGTTAGTTAACATAGTTTCCAAAAATATTCAGCTAACAAAAAGTTTCACTAATAATAATGCTTATATATGTATAATATACAAGTTAGTTTTAATTACTATTTTTTTAATTTTAAAGTTTTGTTGTTTTTTCCAAAAGTACCATATGTTTTGTTTAAAATGTTGGTAATGAACATTACTGTTTTGCCCCTATAAAAAGAACACAGTATCTGTAAAATATTCATTTTGCACAATTTGCACTTAATGTTCATATGTGAACCATACGAAACCATACGAACTTTTTAAATTTTTAGTTTGTATTTTTAATGAGTTTTAATATTATAATAAATAGAAAATTTGTTTTTTGTTTTTTGGTTAGCTAAGAAATGAAGCAAAATGGCAATTTTACAAATACTGTATTCTTTCTTAGACCAGTTATGCAGAGTGTTCTTGTGGTGTATTTAAATAAGTTTTAGAACTCAAGTGTTTGGCATGTACTAATTTGTTATCACTTGATTTATCTAGCCAACTTATATGAAAAGTATTACAACAATAACAAATTAGCATAAAACACATAGTTTGGAAAGTTGACCATCTGTTTTTTTATCAATTTCCATATTTATTACTGCTCTATTCCTTTAAGAAATTCAGCAATTTTTTTTTGTAGAATGCATTTAAAGTTATTTGAATATATATACAGGCGCGGATCCAGCATTTTTTGATGTTTGAGATAACTAACTTCCAGACATGGTACAAACCCCAAAAATTTATATGTTTATACTTATGTCAAATAAAGATCATTTGCAAAAAATTGCGATGATTGGAGTCTGGGAACAAAAAAGCCCCAAAATTTTGGCCACACAAACCCCAAACAAGAGAGCAACAAGTTGATAAAATATTTTTTGTACAATTCTCAAGTAAATTTATATTCATCGATAAATTCTAAATTTCATACAATAATCTTAGTGTTCAAAAATTATAATTGCACAAAGCTTTAACCCCCTCAATTTGAGGGGGTTACAAATTTTGTAAGGTCATGTTTTTTGAACACTAAGAGATTATTGTATGAAATTTAGAATTTATCGATTAATATAAATTTACTTAAGAATTGTACAAAAAATATTTTATCAACTTGTTGCTCTCTTGTTTGGGGTTTGTGTGGCCAAAATTTTGGGGCTTTTTTTGTTCCCAGACTCCAATCGTCGCAATTTTTTGCAAATCGTCTTTATTTGACATAAGTATAAACATATAAATTTTTGGAGTTTGTTCCATGTCTGGAAGTTAGTTATCTCAAACATCAAAAAATGCTGGATCCGCGCCTGATATATATATATATATATATATATATATATATATATATATATATATATATACTTGCATACATACATATATTCATCAAAAGCCTAATTTTGGTAAAAATTTATATTAGAAAAAAAATAATATTAAAAAAACAATTTTTTTTAAATCTTCATATCATACAACTAGTTTGATTGCATTTTTTTTTTTTTTTTAATTGTTTTTTATTTAGTTTGTTATTATTATTATTTAGTTTGTTTTTTATGTTTTTTGTTTTTTTATAACTTGCATCTTCATAAATTCTTTGAGAATATGTTGCAAGTTTGATGCAAGTTGTAAACAGCTAAGTTTTTTTCTATCTAAAACTAATTAATTATAATCAATTATAAAAATAATTAATTTTTATACTTGTTAAATATCCTCAACTGGCATGTAATGCATGCACATCCACAGAGGGTGCATACAATTGTGTGGCAGAGGGTGCATACAATTGTGTGGCAGAGGGTGCATACAATTGTGTGGCAATCAGTTGGGAGTTATACTCTCCATATACTGAGAGTTTTGACAGTGTTTTAACCAGTTTTTTTATTTATTTTTTAATAATTAAAAATTTTTTTTTTGTGTAGGGAAACAAAGATGCATTTTCATTTCAGCAATATATCTGTTTTTAATTTTCAAGATCAAATTTCATTGTGTGTTATAAATATTTTTGATCCAAGTGTTAGTATGTTCAACATTTCAGAGGAAATAATTAGTGTAAAAATAAGTAAAACAGCTTCATCGTTTTCTTTATCATACATACCTGAAATGAAGGCATCGCGAAGTTGGGCTATGAATATTTTTACTCCTGAAGTTATTCAAGTTTTGAATAAAGATATAACACTTCAAAGTTGGTCTGATCCAGAGAATCAACTGAGTGCTTCTGCTTCAGGAGATTATTTTGTAAAAACCTCTGGAATATATTTACTTAAAAGCAAATTTAATCTTTTGAACTTAAATGGATCAATTGAAGTAAGTTTTGTTGGTAAAAATAATGCAAAGATCTGTGTTAGCTTTCTTAATGGTGGTATAAATTGTAGTGTTGAAATGAATTGTTTTACTGAATTACTACTCAATGATGCTGTCTCTATTGTTTTGAAATCGTTTGATGCTCCTCTAACGGTTGACATAGGATCATTGCGAATTGCTAATTTAATCACAACAAATAACTTTGGTTTTGGAAAAACTCTTTTAAGTGAAATATATTTGGAGCCACTACCTGATAATTGGTATTCTATTGGACCATGGACATTTAATAAAACAGGTTATTATGGATTGTTTAATAAAAAATTCCAATCATTCGAAAATCAGTCTATAGTTTTATTGCAAGGAACTTATCAGGTTGTTGTAAATCTTATTGTTGATCTTCGAAAAAGCAGTTTCCTTGGTAATCAGTAAGTATTTTTTATAACTGTGTATAAATTCAATAATCATTGTTTATTATTGTTTCTGACTAAAAAATTACTGTTTTTATAAGTATTTTGCCATTTGTATAAATACTTGTCACCTTCATAGATATCTCGTCATTTTTATAAATATCTTGTCATCTTTATATTATTTTATAATATTTTCATTGGATTATCTGTGTGCTTATTAAACTTTATATGATAAGTTTGATTCAAAAAAAAAAATTTATATGGGCCTATTTATGAAACAGTAAAGGTATCAATAGTAATGTTTGATAATTTTGATAATCTTACAAATTGTTTTTTAAGAAAAAATAATTTATTTAAAAAAAAAAAGTTTATAAAGTATTTTATTATCATTTTAACAGCATTTTAAATAGCTGTCAAATTAAATTCAAATATAAACATTGCTCATGAGGGTTGAACACAATTATTGATAGTAATATTGACATGTAATATTATTTGCTATAAATCTAGGGTGTGTAACTATAGATATGTGTAGCTATGGATATATGTAGCTATGGATATATGTAGCTATGAACATGTGTAGCTATTGGGATGTATGTTTATGTTCTATATGCATGTGTAGATATTGACCATTGTAGTAGCTACTAATATGTGAAGCATAGATATTCATGAATAATAGTTTTAAGTTGAATTAAATTGTATACTAGAAAATAAAGATATACAAATAAAATGTATGTTATCAGGATTATCAGAAAATATTGCTTTTAGTTCGATTCAGTTGATGTCTGGATTGTTTCTTGACAATGAATTGCTAATATCGATGTTCCAGCAAACTTTATTTACTGCTCAGCAAAATGTGATGACCATAAATTTAGTTGGAAATCTTATCATGAAAAAATGGACACAAATGGAGATTAAAATTAAATTATCTTCAAATGCTAATGTAACTTTACTTCAAACAAGTTCATGGGGTGTTGCATTAATAGGTAGTTAAAATATTGTTTTTATTTTCAAAATTTATTTTAATATAAAAGATTTTAACATTATTTAAATGGAGTTAAAATCTTTTACACTAAAAAAAATTTATTATTAATAATAATAATATATTGGATGATTTATTTTCCTCCAATGTTTCATTATCTACTACCTAAATTTACCTTAAGCGCTGTTTATGCATGTAAGAAATTATTTATGAAAGGAGTTACTAGTTTTTCTTACTTAAAAAACTAAAAATGAAAAATATTTTTTTGTTAGTTCTTTTTCTTTTTTATTACCAAATTACAGTGGGATTGAGATTAACTGTACAAAACTATTTGCAAGCATTTTTTTTTTTGCCTGTTTTAATTTGATCAGTGTTGTTAATAAAATGATTGCTAGATAATCTTATGTTTATTGTGATTAGTGTTATTACTAATATGATTGCTACATAAATGTATGTTTAATGTGATTAACTAGTGTTGTTACTAACATTTGTCATTAATAAAATGTTACTAGCCTTACTAACAGTGTTGTTTATAAAATGATTGTTAGATAAACATATGTTTAATGTGATCAGTGTTATTACTAATATGATTGCTACATTAACGTTTTCCTGTACTTTTTCCTGTACTGAATATGCATGCGTATGCCACATACAAATTGAAAAAACCTAAAGGGCAGTACATAATACTTTCTGCTTTCCTTTATAACTTTGTTCACAGATATATATGTTTATATATATATATTGGTCAAACTTTCTTGGTCAAAAACTTTAATAAATAGGAGTTAGCATGTCACATTTGTGAAAGTTTCAAGTTTAAAAAGGCCTGTCTTGGTCAAAAGGTTTAATAAATAGGAGTTGGCATGTCACATTTGTGAAAACTTCAAGCTGTCATTATGGTTAACACAATTTTTTATTGAATAAATTGACTTATGAATCAAAGTTAACAAAGCTTTCCTCACTTGTTCTGAAGTAGGAAACTTTTGCAAAACTGTCAAGAAATTCCATAAAAAGATTATAAACGGTATTGGTATTCCTTTTGTTAGTGTTTTGAATAAAATTACAGAAAAATAAAATTGAAAAAGCAACAATTTTACAGATCACAATCATTTGTTTAGTTTTTGGTGGTAACTGTATGTATATTTTCAATATATTTTTTGCTTGTAATGTTTATTGTGTTTAAGCTGAGAAATTACCTGAAGAAGCTCTTATTTTGGCACATAATATGCCAAGTGACTAATTTCATTGACTTAAAACTAAAAAAACTTGGTATTTCCCTAAAAAGATGTTCTTGACATTATATGTAAAATGTTGTTTCAAAACAAGACTTAGAACACTAAAACACTGATTTTTTATCCTTGTAAAATGTAAAACATTCTTTATTTTTTTGACTAATCAAGATAGAATTCATATTCCAACAGAAAATTGTTTTTGGTTATAAAAGCTATTGATAATGAGTACAATTACTGGTCAAATATTGATACAGGAAATGTTATATATAATTATAATTGCTCTGCTATTTTAAGAACATTTAGCACTCTATTTTGTTGAATACATTTTTAAAATTGTTTAAATATATATATATATATATATATATATATATATATATATATATATATATATATATATATATATATATATATATATATATATTTATATATATATATATATACATATATATATATATATATATATATATATATATATATATATATATATATATATATATATATATATATATATATATATATATAGTACCATTTCCTGTCTATTAAATCTCTTTTGACTTGATGTAATGCTGAAATATCAGTAGGTTTTTGAACTAATAAAAAATGTTAGATCATGTGACTACTTATATAATAAGTTAGATCATGTGACTACTTATATGATAAGTTAAAAAACTCTAAATTGCTCAGCAAATATTTAATAATATGGTTTTTTAATAATTTTATCACTTTGTTGACTGTTTTAATTTACCGACTTGCTTTTTTGTTGGGAGTCATTTTTTATTAAGAAATATAAGTCATTTTTATCATAACATTCCTCTACAAGTTTAATTAGTTTGAAACCTGAGTTTAAACTTAAAAAATTTATTATTTGCAACAAAAACATGGGAAAAAAACTTAAAGTTTATTTGGTTCTCGTGATTTTAGTTAAAAAGAGTGAATTTTGAATTCAGAATTTTAAGTTCATGATTTGAACCTTTTATTTTTGATTTTTTTTTAAATAAAAATAATTTTAAAAATGTTATACTGGAAATGTTTTAATGAATTTTTTCATTAAAACATTACAAGTATTAAAAATAAAACAAAAAATAAAAAAAACTTTTTTTGGTATTGGTTTATTAAAAAAAAGTTATTTCAAATATGGTATTATGAACAGTTATAATGAAAAAAGTATATGAACCAAATAATTTCAAGTTTTTTGAGTTTTCAAATGAGTTTGTTTTATTGTTAAAGTTTTTATCGTTTTAAAGAAAACTTAATACTATTAATAATTTTCAAGTTGAAAATTTTTTAAACCTTATTACATTTAAAAATGCATTGTTTTGATGTAATTTTTACTAAAACTTTATCAATTTCTATTAGATAGACAAAAAAATATTTTTTTTATAAAAAGAACATAAATTTTTTTATAAAAATTTGAAGAAATATATTATTTGTGTAAATAAACTATTTTGAATATATATTTTTTATTTGTGTAATGTTGTAAACTAGTTCTTTCAATTTAAAGATAAGGTTGAAATAATAATTTTTTTTGTCAGAAAATTCTCCCTTTTCAAATACTTCAGACAAAGGACCTATTATGCTGACTAAATTTTCACCAGCCAATTACTCTACGTGGGTTGTTGGTATAAGTAAAGAATGGAAGTGTGAAGCATCTGGTGACGGCAACTTGGCATACATATGGTATAAAAATAATGAGGTTAGATTTTTTTTCATTTGATATAAGCTTATATAAAACACAAACTAAATTATTTGATTAAAGGTGGAATCAAATAATTAAACTTATAAATTTACAATATATATATATATATATATATATATATATATATAATATATATATATATATATATATATATATATATATATATATATATATATATATATATATATATATATATATATATATATATATATATATACAAATAAACTAAGGGATCATCCACAGTCAAAAATTGCTTGACATAATTTATGGAAAACCCCTAAATAAAAATTTATTCAAAATAGTTATTTATATATAACTTATAGTTATTAAAATTTAAATTATTACTGAGTAAACTTTGTTGATGGTGTAAGTTGATAAAGGGTCTAATATTTTGCATATTGCTGTAACTTATTTTGGCAGTATTTCTGTGAAAAAATCTTGTGGAGCTTGAACAAACAAAACATCATGTGGTTAAATTTCCCTTTTAGTTTTACTAAAAGGGAAATTAAACCACATGATGTTTTGTTTGTGTCTATGGCTATTATCAAGAGGATTCAAATAGAGATGTTATTGGAGATTGCCGTTGCTATTAGAGATATCCAGTTCCTATATCCAGACTTATACTAGTGCTTCTTTATAAATTGGTTTAGAGTTTTTATAAATTATTTCTCTGAGTTTGATGACAATCTATATTCAATAGATTGAGAACTGTTTAAAATACTTGGTTAATGATGGGAACTAGCCTGGATATAATTTAAGTTACTTATGAGTTTGTGGTTGGTATTGGAAAGTTGGAAACAACAGTCATTAAGATTTAAAGTAATATTAAGGTAATTAGCAAAAACTTCTTTAGAAGCAGAATAGCATTATAACAAGTTTCCTAATAATTTAGTGATTTCAAAAACAGTTTATAAATTTAAAAACAAATAGAATAACTTATCAACAATTAAATAGTTGTATATTGACTACTATAGTGACATTCCTGAATTCTTAATCTGCAAAGATTTGTATTAACTATCTTTAAAGTGCATGCTTGAATTTCTACAATATTAGATCGAAAGATAAAATGGTCAATTAGAATGGTTCCATATGATTTATGGCACTTTATAGTAGAAGATAGTAAGGTTAAATGCAATTCATCTACTAAACTTTGCTGCTAACTATCCAATGTCTACAGCAAATTTTATTAACAAAGTTTTTTAATGTTGTTAATTATCGGAGTGCTGGAAATTTTATTTAGTATCAATTTATTAGTTTTTTTTAATAGCTGTCTTTATAACAGCTATCAGCAACTTGTCATTGTTAATGATATTGCTTCAACAACAGTTACATCAGTATTTATCAACTAAATATTTATTTAAGTAACTAAGTAACTCATAATTATTGGTGGATTTTCTTAAGTTCATGAAGGATATTGCAAAAACAGGTTTACATTAGGAATACTTGTATGACACCCTTGTATAAAGTTAATTAAAATCAACATAAAATTAACTCATATTTAAATTTTTTGCTAAGTTGTTCAAACATATATAATAAATTGTTGTATTTTGTCATACTATTCAAAGTAAATCAAACTTCCTTCCCAAATTATTCATGTTCTTTTGAAGAAATTTATTATTTATTGAAAAATAGTGAAATAATTTGACTAGTTCTTGAGTTTTTTTTTATAATTGGTGACATTTTAGTTTGAAATAATATTTTCAGTACCCAAATAAAATTTTAAGTTCAATCCTTTATGCAATCATTCAACTATATAAATTTTTATTAGATTTTAATTAGATAATGATTATTAACTACATTTGTAATCAATTTCATTGTTTCCTTAAGATTATTGATGTACAATATGAAAATATTGGATATTTAAAAATTGCTGGAAACATCAATGACAGTGGTAGCTATAGCTGTGTGGTTCAGTTAGATAACATTAATGTTTCTTCCAATTCTCTTTACATTAATATATATGGTAAAAAAGTTGTTTATTTTATTTTTATTTTTATCTATTTATTGAAATTATTCAAATGTTTTGATTTTCTAAAAATTTTATTTTTCAATGAGAATACTTTTCATATATGATTTTTTTACTGGTTCTTAAATATGTTAAATGTTAACAATAAATATTATATTTTAAAAAGTATGTATTAATAAGAAATAAATCATTGGTCAGTACACCAACCTGGGTCAACCCTAACACTAGTTTACTGTCTTTTAAAATAGCTTATGTAAGAAGCAGTTTGACAAAAGGTGTAAGAATTAAAATTAGATCAAAATTTCAAAAGTAATAATTTTTTTATAAAAAATGTAGAAGAAAAAAAATAGTCTTGTCATTAAAATGAACTTGTCATTGAAAAGTTTATTTGTCATTGAAAAATGTACTTGTCATTTAAATTGACTTGCTATTAAAATGAACTTGATATTAAAAAAAGTGTTTTAGGGGGTGGGACACCCCTACACCCTTGTTCGGGATGGCTGTGGACCTAAGGTCATTCATATCACATCCAATCACAGTACAGAAAAAATACTAGATTTAACATCTAGTATTTTTTGAGACAATAGATACTTTTATATAAAAACATGAGAGTTTTCAGGATCAGAGTATTTTCAGGCCATTCATTATACTGCTTTTAACAGCTACTTTGATATTTTATTAACTTTGGTTACATGTTTTAATTTATTTATAAGTTTTTGTACTTTTTACGAATTTTTATGTTTTTGTACTTATTTTTATTATTCATTAGTTATTTATGGTGTAAAATTTGGCATGTGTAACGTCAAATATGATTTTACACTAAGAGTTTCAATAATGTAAAATATCATTTTTACCATAATGAAAAAAATAAAATTTATAGTTTAAAACAAATTTAAAAGAAATATTATTAAAAAAAAAACCATACCCAATTAATCAATATCTGAAAGATTCTGGATAATTATGTCATAAAATTATCTAAATAGTTATCTCATAAAATTATTTAAGTGTATTGCCTATTCATGAAATTATCTGGATAATATTTCAAGAAAGTAATAGTTATTTTTATTATTTTTTTTTTTTAAGATATTGATGAATGCGCTTTAAAAATGAATAACTGTTCAACAAATGCAACTTGTTTTAATACTCCTGGAAGTTTTTTTTGTCAATGCAACTCTGGATTTTCTGGTGATGGTCAGTTGTGTAATGGTAAGATATTTTTTTATTTAGTTTTCAAATTTTTTAATGCTTGTATATACATTCATGCTTATGTAAATACATTTTAAGTTTAAGCTAAAATATTTTACGCATTCAACATTAAGTGCTTGTTTTTTGTTTATTTAATTTATTATATTAATTTAGTGTTTCTATGTTTGTTTGTTTGTTTAAAAAAAACTATAGTTTACTTAAAGTATGATTTTTTTGTTTACTAAAATTTTTTTACACTATTTGTCTTGTTGAACTGGTTTGTGTCATAATTTTGCTCTTAAAAATCATGAATTAAAAATCTTGATAATTAAATAAAAACTAAATGATCATTAATAGCATGCGGTCCTCATGGAAAAATGCTGATCCACATCGAAATGCCAGTAATAATAGACGCGACTCTGAGGAGATGTTTATTACTTAATCACTACACAAATTATGTTTACACATTAGCATTAATGTTTTTTTTTTCCATTCTGAGGCCTTCCATTGTTGTTAGCATACTTTTATTTTGTTATTGGTTTTTTGTTTTATAAGTTTTTTGTCTGATGATGTATTTGTTGTATATCTTTGTTCATATTGGTGTTTACAAAACAATTTTTTTATTTTTTTATTGTTATTATTGTTGTTGAGTACTGTTTTGGGTGTATAGTCTGTCTTATTTATTTTTAAATATTCCTCTATTAATCTTTATTTTTGTCTTGACAACTGTCAAAATATGATTTGTTCAATAAATAATTTTCCTTTATTCTAATGTACTTCATTTCTTCTCTCTTGTGTTCACTGCTCGTGTGTGACCATTTGGCGAATTTTATTTGCCAAAGTTTTTAAATAAAATCTTGATAATTAAATAAAAACTAAATGATCATTTATTGGACAAAATCGAATTACAGTAACAATTTTTTTTTTATTAAAAAAAGTAAAATAAATTAAATTCATTGAAAACTAAAAATTATTTGTTTTAGAAAAAATAACTTTTCAAATAAGTTTGAAAATTATTTTTGAACTAAATTTTAATAAAATATCATTGATAAATGTCATAAATTTAGTGCCATTTTAAAAATAAGTTAATAAAATTACATTCTGAAGTTTAAGTTCATATGACTTTCTAAAAAGTCTTTTTATTTGAAAACAAAAATTCAATGTTTTCTTGCATATTTTAAAAACACTTGTTTTATAATGGCCCTTCTTAGTAAATGTATTGTTTTATTTAATTTGGTTCAAAGTGTTTACAATAAAAATATTGGGATGTATTTGTCCTGCGTTGCTTCTCCTCCTTGTTTCTCAGCTTCTCTTTTTCTCCTTTAAGCGGTTTTGACCATTTTATGAGTTCACTAAAACTCATTTTCTTCCAACTCAACTTATCATCACATTTTATACTATTAACATAAAGCTGGCTGGGATTTCTTTGGCAACTTTCTTCGTGATGGTCCTTAGGCTGATGTCTTCCTTTTCACTGATAACTGTGCCTCCTATATAATCTCCAGGATTTATGCAGGCGTATTTTTTATTTCTTCTTGTTGCTTTTAAGTTCAGCCTCACTCATGATTTACTAGCATTTACCCCATGATTTTTTCTTCTTGTGCAGCTACTATTTCTAAACATTTTCTTTATCTTTTTCACAGCTCTCTTGAAAGCAAATGTCTTTTTATTATTGCAAGAAATAAATGCAAAAATGTGTTGTCTGACCTTAAGCTCGATTGTTTTAAGTTTACTAAATTTTGTATTTATCTCAGAAGGTTAGGTTCTAAAAAGACTTTTGGAAAATCTTTAACATTAATAAAGGTTTAGTCTGACCATTTTTAATATATGAGTCTTTTTAAAACTCTTCAATAGCTTGTGGTTCAGACAACGTTCATGGCTTACAAAAGTTCAGAACTTTAGAACTTTCAATACTCTTAAATTATTTAACTAATGCATAATTGTTGTTTTCCTGCCAACTTAAAAAAGCATTTGCTGTTCAATTTTCCAAAATTTTAAAGAACGCTCTGGTTTCTCTAACTATTGTCTAATCAGTCATTATTTTTTAAATGAAAGATTTTTGGGTCTTTGATTCACTGTTAATAATTAGTCCAGTTTTGTTGTTATTTCTATATTAATTAATAGCGACACTTTTACCAAGTCCTCTACTTAATTTTTTTCATAAATTGTCATTTACTACTGATCTCTTTTGGAAACCATATAAATAATCCAAAGCAAAATTAGCAACTGGTAATGTTGTCTCTTTATTGTGCTTATTTCCTTACTCTTGATTCTATTTTCTATCTTTTAAATCTTTTATTCATCTCTGCATTGGATACTATTGTCATAATTTGGCTGGTTATTATGCCCTTTATTTTCTAGGCACAAGTCCAAAAATATATTTTTGTTAATCTTTATCCCATTGTCGTAAGGCTGCACCTCTTTCTTAATTCTATAAATAATATCATTATTTCTGTTCAAAAAAGCTATTATCTCTTTGTGCATCAACCTCCATCTTGTATTGTCATATAGTATTGTTCTCATTTAGTCAAATCATTATACTGAATTTGTTCCTTCATGCTTTAAGAACATTTTCTAAAGACTTCTTTGCAATATCTTTAGTAATTTCCAACTCAAATAGTGCTTGCTTGTTGGGAGTAAAGTTGTTAGTAAAAATAAATAAATACAGATATGCCAAAGATAACTGTAATTGATATTTGATATTTAAGATAATGTTCTAAACGCATCTATATTTATTTGTTATTTCTTTACTCAAGTGCTTTGTTTTAGCAATTTAACATGTGTTAATTAACAATGAAATAATCAAAAAATTTCTTTAGATATTAACGAATGTTTGCTAAATACCTCATGTGCACTAAATGCAATTTGCGAAAATGTTCCTGGATCATGGAATTGTAATTGTCAAACTGGATGGAATGGTACTAATCCAAAAAATAATTGTACTGGTAAGAAAACCAAATTATGTTACTTAAATTGTTAATACACAATAAAAAGTAAAAATAAAGGTAATCATTGAGTTATTATTTAATATTTTAATAAAAGTTTAGAATAGATTTATTTAATGTATTTTTAAAATAGATTTATATAATTTTAATATCTGGAAGTAATATTAATTAAGAGTGCTTTAAAATTTTTGACCATATATGAAGAATCTGAAGGTCTTATAATTTCTAACAGTTTTTAAAAATTTGTTTAAAAAGTAATTTCCAACAGTTTTAAATTTTTTTTTTTAGATATAAATGAATGTGAAATAAATTCAAATATTTGTCAAAAAGTAAGATCCATGTGCATAAATACTCCTGGATCTTATAACTGTATTTGCATGGAAGGGTGGCGGAATGATGGAGTTAATTGTATAGGTAAAAAAAAATTATAAATTTATAAACTTATTTAGGTTATTAGTTGTTATTTATTAAATTTATTCTAAAATAAGAAGTTAAAACTTGATATGCATTATTAAAGTCTGAGAATTACAACATCTGAGAACTATATCATCAATAAATCATGTGTAAGAATAAGTTTCATTACCAGTTATCATTCTTTTTAAAAATTGGTCATTTTGATTGTTTTAAAAGCATATTAAATATGTTTAATTAAATTATTTTTTTCAAATTCACATGGAATCCAAACATGAAGCTTTTATTTTGTCTTCTCATTAGTCCCAGTTGGTCTACCACTATGCAATGCATCTTAAACTAAAAAATTTTGAAATGGAAATTTGCAAACTAGCTTTGACAAGTGCGTTCTGTTATTGCATCACTACCTTACACAGCACATGTTTTTTGTGTTCTTTTGCATCTTTTTTACCTTTTTTGAAATAATAAAATATGTCAAAAATGATTATTTTGATCTTTCATTTTGAAAATGATGCCAAAAAACAACCAAATAATTATTAAGAAAAAACAGAAAAGAATTTAAATAAGAAATAAAAAGTGGAATTAGGTCTAAGTACTGCTTCTGAATGTCTCTACTGTTTCTGCTTTTATAAATTTAAACTTTTTAAACAAAATTTGTTTATACTTCAATGGCCTATATCTGTTAGTAAATTTTAATAAGCAAAGCTTTGCAAAAAAAATTTTTAACGAATCATCAAAGAATGATTAAGCATCTCAATTCTTATTTTTGTTTTAATTTTCTATCAATACAATTTTTTTTTATATGATAATGAAGAAAAAGAGTAGAGAATTAAATAAACTCAAAACTAATTAGTTTAGTAAGTTTTACTTATGCATTAATATTATTAAAGTATATTTTTTTTATTTAGATATAAATGAATGCTTAGAAGAAAATTTTCAATGTGACATCAATGCATTCTGTTTAAATACAAATGGTAGTTATAATTGTATTTGCAATAAAGGTTTTGAAGGAAATGGAAAATACTGTGAAAGTAAGATTTTAAATAAAAATTATGAAATTAAGATTTTAAATAAAAATTACTTTTAAACTTTATAAAAACTAGTAGCTATGGTAAATTTTTATTTATTCTTTTCTTTTTGATCTTTAAGACATTAATGAATGTTTACCCGAGTATGATTTTCTGCGTAGTATTGACAATAAATGTGTGAACAACTCTGTGTGTGTAGACACAATAGGTAGTTATACATGCAATTGTCAAAATGGATTTGAAGGGAATGGTACTGTCAGTTGCAATGGTAAGAATTCACTCTTCTTTTTTTATTGCAGATTTTTAGCACAAACTAAAAATACATTTATGGATTTTTGTTTTTTGTTAGACATTAATGAATGTGATAACCCAACTTTTTGTAATGCTAATGCTGATTGTATAAACACAATGGGAAGTGCTCAATGTAAATGTCGAACTGGTTGGACAGGTGTTGGAAAGCAGTGTACTGGTAAAAGCATTTTGTCTACAATTTTTTTTTCCCATTAAGAAATTCTTTTCTTCTTTTCTCAATTATTTTAGAAATATTAGAATTTTATTTTGACATTAAAGAATTTTTTTTAGACATAAATGAATTTTTTTTTAGACATGAATGATTTTTTTTTTAGACGGATGAATTTTTTTTTTAGACAAATTTATTTTTTTTTAGACATAGATGAGTGCCTTGAATCTAATAATTGCAAGAATGGTAATTGTTCAAATACAATTGGATCGTATACTTGTGTATGCTTTACTGGATATCAGTTGAATGGTGTAACATGTCAAAGTAATGTTAAATAATTGTTTTGTATATCTACATAACTAGAAGCAAATAATAGAAACAAATAATAATAGAGCAAATAATAATAGACTAAAAAATTAACTTTTTATAAAATCAGATTCTGACTGTTTACCTAGTAATAAACTTTTTGTTTACAAAAAGATTGAATTATATGCTATTTTTATAATTTATGCTTAAACAATTTTCATCTATATTATTCACAAATGACTTTTTCAGTTTTATTCTAGTATTTGCATATTTGACATCTCATAGCCCCCCCCCCCCACCTCCTTCCTCTTCTTTTTTTCTTTTTTTTTTCTTTAGGTTTATTTTAAGCTGTGTTTTCAATTTTTATTTTTTGACATTATTTGGCAACTCATTAAACACTGTAATTTGACCAACAGGTTTCATGTGCTTTCTAAGAAGGTACCTTCTAACCATGTATAAAGCAGAAATTTTTAAAATCGCATCTATCTAAAGGTGTCCAAAAAGGATTTTTGGACACCTTCTTAGATAGATGCAACAACCAATACTTAGTATATTAGTATGACAATGTAGAAGAGGAAACACTGTTGACAACAGTTGAGGGGAAAATCTGTTATTTAACTTATAATAAATAGTTTTTTAAAAAGACGAATTTCAAATTATTCTTGTGTTATTTTTTTAAGATAAAGAGAAACAATAATATTTTAAACTCTCATGCATTTAATAATGATGTAAAAACGTAATTTTATAAAAATTCATTAAATGTAATTAAAGCTTTAAAAATGCTATTTACTTATAATTTTTCTATTGTTTATAGTTTTAGCAATATTAAGTTTATACTGATAAATTAATAGTGTTTTATAAGTATAATTTAAACTCTAAGCTATTTTCAGATTAAAAAGATCTTTGTTAAAATTAAAAGATCTTTGTTAAGTTATTTAGATTTTAGTGATTATGAAATTATAAAACATTTTCTGGTACAACCTCAATCCAAGTGTAAGCCTTTTGTAAATATAAAAGCTTTTTTTGTAATATTTTGTAAATTTAGTAGTAGCTGAGTAAAAAATTGAACTTTTTTAACACCTTTATGAACTTTTCGTACACCTATCTCTCTCTCTCATCAACAGGAAATACACAATAACATATCTTCATAACCGTCTTTTTAGAAAAACAAATTTGCTTTCAGAATCAATTGACACTTTTACTAGAGTTTATTTAGATCCAGTCTAATTTTACTAACTATCAATGGAACAAAATTAGTGATGTCTTTCACTATAACAATATCTTGGTCAACCAAACAACCACCTGATTCCTCCAATATTTTTTTAGAATATTACGAATGTTTTTCAGAATTTTTAGTAGTTCTTATGAATATATTGTTTTAAAAACGTCTTTGTGCTGCAGCACTCGGCTTGGAGCAAAACAGTTTCAATATCACTCAGATTGTTTGTAACTTGTAACTGCAACTGTAATTAGTTTCAAAGGTTACAGTTATTGTTCTATAAAAAGTTTTGATATTTAATACACTTACTTGAAGTGTAAGTTTGTTTTCACCAGATAAAAACATCATTTTTTGTCAACTTGGAATATTTTTTTTTTCCATTTTATGTTTAAGAATATGTACTACCATTTTTCTACACAATTCAGTTCGCCATTAACTCACAATGTATTTCAAGTCCCCATCAGCTTACAATGCATAGCTAACTAAATTTTTAACAGTTTTTCTGCATATGCGAAAATTCTCTTAAATTAAAGTTTTCATTATTTTATTAATACTCAATTGTAAATTTTTTCCTTAACTAAATATAATGTGAACAACTCAAGTTTTTAAAAACAATAATTAAAAAAGAAATATATAAATTATCATATATCACAAATTCACTTTTTATATCATATATATCAATAGTATCACTTTTTATTGTTATGGCCTCTACAGTACCAAAAAATATGAAAACAGATTAGGCTTCTTGTTTTGAATTTCACAATAAACAAACTTTTAATAAAAATTTAAATCTTATAAGTTTTTTATTATTTTATGAGCAATAATTATTTTATTTATTTGATATATGATAATTTATATATTTATTATTTTATGAGCAATGGTAGTTTTATGAGCAATTCTTATTTTATGAGCAATTTTTCTTTATTTCATAGTAGCCAAATTTAAAAAAAATAAACAGTTTTTTAAAATTATAACTTTAAAGCATTTGATGTTTCAGATATCACACTTTTAAGCATTGTGCAAATTCCAAATTAAAGTATATTCATACTAATGTTAAACAAAAATGTTTTCTAAAAAGTTGTGATGATTAGAAAATAAAATATCCCACGTAGTTCGCATTCTTTACCCTGAATGTGAGAGCAACAAGTTAATGAAATATAATATCTTACCATGTTGTACTAAATTTAAGTTCATTAACAGGTTTTAAATTTCATTTATTAATCTTTTGAAGCTCAAAAGATAAGACAATGTAATATTTCAGCCCTCTCTAAAATGAAGGGGTTGCAAATTTCGCATTAATTTTGAATGCTGATAGAATACTAAATGAAATTTTAAACCTGTAATAAACCTAAAATTAATATTTAATATATTAAACTAAATTTAAATTCAGTATAGTATGCTAAATAAGTTTATTTTATTCACTCATTACTTTTACATTTAAAGTAGAGAGAGCAAACGTTTTGGCGTATTTTTGTTTCCAGGCTCCAATCAACAATATTTTTTGGAAAACTTTTGAATTTGACATAGTATGAACATATTTAAGTTTGAAGTTTGCACAATATCTGTTTTAAATTATAATATAAATTAAGTTTGAAAATCTACAATATTGCGGTAGAGTGTAGTGGTAGAGCGTTCGACTCATTAGCGAGAAGTTCCGAGTTCGATCCCCACCACATCCCTGGTAGTACCGCGCTCAACTTGCTTCGTCGCGCAGCGGCTTTGTTTGTTAAGGATCGTGTTTCAGAGTTAAAGAGTTGAGAGAGTTGCAACCACAAAAAGTAGCCTCGTCGACTGTTATGGCTTTCTCGGCCTTTTGGAGGTGAAAAATTAAAAAATATATATTCAAAAAATCTTGTTGCTGAAACATCAAAAAATCTTGTTGCTGTTACTGCCTTTAAGTTAGAAATCAAATAAAATTCTCTTTTAATCAGGATAAAATTCTCTTTCAATAAAGAATTGAGTCTCTGATCACTAGTGATTTTGTCTATTATTTTTTTATATTTGTCAACTAATTGCTTAGGTATAGATTGATTCTTCTTATAAGTCAAACACAATATTTGCATGGTTTGGATTTGGACCTTTATCTGAAAAAAACGTGAATAGGTTAACACAAATTAACTACTCTGTAAGTGGTACAAAGGATGGTTTTAATAATAAAAATTTTGATTATATTTTTGCTGTTGCTTTGATATGTCAATTGTTACATTATATTTAATTTGGTTAAGAAAATTTATTTTACTTTAATTTTAATTTATTTGATTACAACTAAAATTACTTGACATAAGTATTATCTAGTTAAATCATTTATTACAGTGTAGCAATTTATTACAGTGTTGTAATTTTTTACGTTGCAGTACTTTATTACATTGCCGTAATTTATTACAGCGCAGTAATTTTTTAGTGTTGTAATTTATTACAGTGCAGTAATTTATTACAGCGCAGTAATTTATTACAGCGCAGTAATTTATTAGATTGCAGTAATTTATTACAGCGCAGTAATTTATTACAGTGCAGTAATTAGCAATTGTGCAGTAATATGTTTTGTATAAACCAACTAAGGCATTAATATGTTACAACAAATAAAAAGTATAAAAAAAAAATTAAGCTCAAAGTTTGGGTTTCTTTTGTTACGCTGGGTTTTGCACAGTGGCGTAGCAAGGGTTATTAGCGCCCAGGGTCAAAATAGCAAAAAGGCGCCTTTTTTATAGTAAAAAGCAATTTTTTTTTTAGAAAAAAAGCTTTTTATTTTTCGCACGGGGTAAAAACTACTTTGGACTCAAGCCTTTCGCTACGCTACTGGCTTTACATGTTTGAATGGTACTGTGTAAATAAATTGTACTGTGTATATAACAGTTGTTTAACGTGAAATATTCATTTTAAACTTTTTTTTAGGTAACAATGGTGGCTCAACTGCAGCGCAGACTTCTTGCGGTGACCCAAAAAGTTACAGCTGCATGTGTGCTGACACTAAAAAACGGGACAACAATATCCTTTGCAATGGTTTATTTTTAGCGCTCATCATTCTTTCTGTAATTGCAATAATTGTTGTGCTATTTGTCGTTAAGTATATGAAATCAAGAAAATTGAAGAAAATTGGCCCAGTGAAAGTGCAAAGAGATAAGTACATAGAAATGGAAAACGAGTCTGAGCTATAAACACTTTTATTTTGCATAAGTTTTTGTAAATATTTCTCGGATAAATCTATTTATAAATCAATTTAGGTTTATAAATTGAATGAATAGAAAGGTTAGCAGCATCTGCAAGCACGATACTCGATACAAAGATTTGACTTTGTATATATCGTTTTAATAGTTTGAGAACAAAGTTTTTCTTAAATTAAACCAATATATTGATATACATTAAATAATTGTATTTTACAAGTACTTATTTTCTTGAAGGCTTGTATTCAAGTCGAAGAATAAAAATCGCAGATTAAGTTATTTTCTTTAGCTTTAGCTGTTCGTATCATATAGTTGTGTCACATGTTCGTATCACATTATTAGATCTACAAAAACTTGTACCTACTAATTTGATCTACATAAAAAATAAAGATCAAGTAGTTTAAATAGTTAACAATGTTTAGAGAGGCCTAAGTTGATTATAGTTAAATTTAAGCTCATTCACAGGCCATCCTTTGTTTTACACGTTTTCCTCAAAGGAGGTCTTCTTGTGAATAAACACTAAAAAACCTCAGTTTTTGCATGAAAAAGACGTTTTTTAAGTCGTCGTTGTTTTTTTTAATGGTAAAAAAGTATAGAGTATTTCTTCAACAACAAAAACGACAACTTTTTTTGATTAATAAGTACAAGATACAGCTAAATTATTGCAACATAGTTACCCAGACGATTTGACAAAATATTTTCCAACCCAATTAATTAATGCAATGATTTTTGTTAAAAATGACATCACAGAAGCAACTACATTAAAAGATTTAGTTGACATACAGTTTATGGAGTGCGATTTTTCAGATGTAAACACAGCCATATTGCTATTGATGACAATACCTGTGATAGTTGCAAGTGCTGAAAGATCTTTCAGCAAATTAAAGATTATCAAATCATATTTAAGAATGTCTCAGGAGCGTCTCAAACATTGTTCAATTTTGGAAAAAGAGAGCGAAAAAGCACAAACATTAGAATTAGATAAAGTAATTGAGGAATTTGCGAATAAGAAAAGTTTATATTTAAAGTAGTTCAACAAATACAAAGTTTCTTAGTATATTCTTCAATTTTTTTTTTCCATTTTTGATAGCATTCTAAGAATTACTGTCTTAAGATAGTATAGCTATCACGAAAATAAAAATTCTGCCATAGGCATAAGTGACGTAAAGTCAGTTTTTGTTATTAAGTATGCTTCTCTTAAACATAATTTCAATGTTCGTTCTTTTTTATAATTATTATGAGAAAAGATTCTAGATTATTTCTCAAATTTATAAAATAAATATTTTTTATAGACTTAATCGTGTTATATTATCTTAATATAAAAAGAAAATATTGGGTATTTCATTCTTAAATATATTTTGAAAAAATTTAAAGTGAGAGAAAAAGTTTAATAAAGGCCCCTTTACTTTTTTGGCGTGGGGGCTCCAATTTTATAGTTGCGCCACTGGAAGTTTTGCTAATTGCATGTAAAAATTATTATTCTTTCCATATAAAAAAATAAACTTAATTAAGCTTAACTAAATTAATTGACTTATTGCAAAACTAATTTTACTAAAATTATTGAATATTGTATTGTCATCAAGCAAGAGTATGTATGCTAAATTTGAAGAAAATCAGGAAGTGACTCAAAAATTGATTGCATGATTTGATATTAAAAGACAGATTGACAGACAGAGACGAGGATTTAATTAATGCATTGGGTATAAAATTATATAATAACAAGTCAATAATTGATATAGATTGTCACACTAAGAGAAGTCTGATAAAAGAAGTGACACCAAAAACGCTTTGGTTGGGGGCTGTCCATTAACTACGTCAACAAATTTTTTGAAATTTTTAGCTCCCCCCTCGCCCTTGTCAACAATTTGTCAAATTTCCAGAGATCCCCCCCTCCCCCCAATAAAATTACATCAATTTTAGATTACCCCCCCCCCTCCTATTCAAAGAACCTACGCTACAAATTCTCCGTTATTTAAGCAATGAAACTCAAAAAAAATTGTTGACATTAACTTTGCTTGACCTCCCCCTGTTTTGTTGACGTGTGGACAATCCCTTGACATGTGATACGCGAGGATAAATTTTAGACAAAAAAGTATTAAATTATACAGTTTTAACGTGTAAAACTTTAAACGCTAAATATATTTGAAAAAAAGTTAAAAATGTTTTTCTCCATTTAAAGATTTAATAGATAAATTAATTTCGATAAGATTTATAAAAGGTTCAAAGCCAATATTGCACTCATGGAATAACTTTTCAGTGTCAGATACATTCAGAAAAGCACAAAGTTTCAGAAAATATTTTAAGGAAAATATGCAGGCCTCAACTTAAAAATGTCTATGACAATTCGTCTGAATCAAAACCACTTTTACCGCCACTAAATGTAAAAACTCTACTAAAAATAGATTCCTTTTTATAAACATTATTGTCAGCGCCAGTGCCACTAGAGGAAGTAGATTTTACAATGGATATTGCTAAATGTGAATTAGTAGAAGATGAAAGAAATAATTTAAAAAGCGCGTAAATGAATTGGAAAAAAAAGAACCACATGATAAAGGTTAATTTAGAAAAAAGTAATGAATTTCTAGGTGTACGTTGCATTTGCTTTTACAGATCATTTTTTAGTAAATGATGAAAATTGTAATCATTAAACTATTATAGTATAATGTATAATATAGTATAATGTTTTTAATTGGTGGAAACCCAGTATAATTTATACTGGATTTCCATAAACTAACAAGCTGTTTAAGAATTTTTAGATCCTGGAGAATGGAAAAATCATAATTTTTTATAACAACCAAAAAACAAACTCAAATTCATCCAAGAGTGTTAAAGCCACTTTATTAATTTATTTTAACATTTACTCTCGAGTTCCTAATAAACCTTCCCCCCCTCCCCCCTTTATTAATTTTTGGATATTTTTCCCACCCACCCTAAGCTTATTAAGACCCCCCCCCCCCCCCCATTTATTAATTTTTACTTGTTATCAAAAAAAAAAAATTCAGTGAAAATCGGCCTTAAAAATTTGAAAATAATTTTCACTCATCGATAAAAACAAAAACTTTCAGTGTAAACAGGTTTTACAAATTGTCGACTTTGTAAAAATGAACTTTTAGTTTATTTCTCAACAAAGCTTTGGTTTTAATTTTAGGATTTAATATGCTGAATATAAATTTAATACTTTGCAAAGTATAAAACTTATATCAACATATTAAATCCTATTGAAATTATGATAAAACAGCCTAACCCTACCCTAACAGCTGTTAGAAAATGCGCTTTTGACCGCAAGTCAAATGCGCATTTGACTTGAACATGCATAACTTGCATGCCGAATATACGAGGGGGCATTGAACATGCCCCCCCCCCCCCCCCCGTTTATTAAATTTCAGAAAAAATCTCCTCCTCCCCCCCCCCCCCTCGTTTGTTAAAGCCCCCCGTTTATTAGATTTTGACTAAAATTCCTACCCACCCGTTTATTTCCACCCCCGTTGTATTCGGCACTCGAGAGTACTCATTTACGCAGGAACTTTGACCTTCATTATTTATCTTTATATTTTAGAAGGAACAGTTTCAAATACTTACGGTATTTGAAACTGTTATACATGGATAAATTTTATATATAAGATTTGGACGAATCTGCATATGGCCTAGTATGGAGCAAGTTAGGAAGACTATCATTTTTAAAGGCTAGAGAACAATTTACTATTGAAGAAACAGTTTCAAGTCAACAAATTGCGTATGAAAGAATCCGTGTTGAGAGAATAATACAGAATTTCATAAAATTCAAATGTTATATAAGTCAAATATTATAGTTGGTACATAAAAAAATTGAATATATACTAAATGTATATATACCAAAAAGTATGATTTTGCCAAATCATTATATAAACTTTAGCAAATTAACTATTTTAGGAAGTAAAAGAGTGTTGTGTGGTAGTATATTCCATCCGACGAAATATTCCATCCTTTTGCGCAAAACTCAAAACGAGGATGTGTATTTAAATTATAGTTGTTAGAAATGTTCCTTCTGAGTCCGAAATGAAACGAAACACACACACTATTATACTATTATACACATTATACTATTAACTATTTTCGGAACAATTCTAATGGCTATAACTTAAAAACACATCCTCGTTTTGAGTTTTACGCTAAAGGATGGAATATTTCGTCGGATGGAATATACTACCACAGTTGACATGTAAAGTAAAGCGAAGAAACGTAAAGATGCTGCATACTACATTTGTCTTTGGAGCCATTTTGTGAAGAATTTAAAAATTAAAAAAATACAAAACAACAAAAATACAATTAAAAAAAAAAAATAAGTATTAAAAACAAATCTTATTAATCAAGAAATAACTCCTTATGTTGAAAGAGTTATAAATACTTTTTCTGATTTAGTGGAACAGCGATTAGAATTGTTTTTTACCTAATATTACTTTAATCAGGGGTGAGGAGTTGTAAAAAAAAAGTAACGACTCCGACTCCAGTTGTTGAAATTTTTTGAGTACAACTCCGACTCCGACTCCAAAGCAAAATTTTTGAAAAATTCTTTGAATTCTTTAAAAAATATTGCGCGATAAGTTGAAATTTTTTTTTTGACAAATTTATGCAACGTTCTTTGAAGTTTAGTATGAACATAAGGTTAATTGAATGTTTTGTACATACACGTGCAATACCAAGAAATATTACTATCGGAGTCGGAGTCGCGATATTTTTTAGGGACTCCGACTCCGACAAAATTGTCGCAACTCCGCAACACCGACTCCGACTCCACAGCTCTGCTCCGTATAGCGTGAGCACAATACGTAACTTCTCTCACTGAAAGAAGTTACGTATTGTGCTTTTTTCATGTTTTTATTAGTATACAATATAATAACCTATAATGGTGTATATTTAATGTTTATACTTTAGCGTTGAATAAAGAAAAATTGCCTTTTGCCAAACTAATATCTCATATCAGCCATAATTTGACTTAACGGAAATTCATTGGTCCCTTTGAGGTTCAAGTTATCGGGAACTAACTGTATGCTGTTCGATAAAAATTATCCACAAAATAAAATAAGGAATTTGTATGCAAATTAATTTATCATTCCTTAAAATATATTTATTTTTATAATGTAAGAGTTGCGAAAAAAAAAAAAACAAGCTACTAGTTTGTTTTACATTTATAGATAGACGATATTTTGTTTGACTTTTTCTCAAACAGTTCGGGAAATTCGGACTTTCTAAACTTCCTGAAAGTCCGAACTTCGCGCAAAAAAGTTAGCATAGTTTATAAATAAATCAATTTAGCTTTTATATATGCAGTAATTTGGTAAAAAAAATCATACTCCTTAAATTTTAGATTTTTCATCATTTACCGTAAAAAGCTTAAAATTTAACTGGCGTATGCTTAATTTTGCCTAATTGCAACAAATATATAAAAAAGTTGCCGTTGTTAAATTTTTTTTTTTGTTCAAATAGAAAATTTGATATTGGCTTCCATATAGAAGCCAATTTATAATTCAAATTTTAGGCTCACCAATGCAGAGTTGATATCTGCCATCTTGATGGCCATTGACATAGCAGACATCATCTATGCATTCAACCATATATAAATTTTGAAAATAAATTTTCTCCAACTATTAAAAAATAGTTTTAATTTTTCTTTCTGTAATTCGTAAACTATGTTTCTTTTTCTTTATCTTTCCCTTTCCTTGCTTTATTTAAAAACTTATTTTTTTTTTTTTTTTTTTTACTTTTTCCATTTTAAGCATTTGTTAGCTTAAAATGGCAATGAAAGGTTTTTAAACCTATACTAATCACTTTATAACAAAAACCATGAAAATTTCATCAAATAACGTGTTTTTGTGTTTTAGCTTTGATGCATGTTTAATATCATTTGAATCATTTGAAAGCGTAACTAATAAAATATTTGTGTTTTTTTTTAAACTGCTAATAAATTTAAATACTGGCAGACCAGCAGTAGTAAACGATTGGGGATGGTATTTGACAGTAGTCAAGGCCAGTTCTACGGACGGGACTGCATAAATATTGGTGCACGTTGACTTATTTTTATATATCATTTCAATATACATTTGACCCAGGTCAATAAACAGCCCCGGTTGTTTACTAACTAGCAGAGCCTAGAATACCTAAAATGCCTGGATACTAAGAAGGCTCTGGTTTTAGCGCTTGTCATACTAATTTACTGATTTAATGGTCACTGATTTTTGAAATTTAAATTGGAGGCATTTTTTAAGAATTATCCGCGAATTTCGGACCACACGAGACAAATAATAATAACTTTACACGTAAACATCCTCATGTTCGCGAGATTAACTTTTTAAGGATAAATTTGATTGATAAATATCTATAGCATTATTAAGATGACGATTTTTAAAAATTTTGTTTTACTTAGTTTAATTGAAAAAGAGTTTTTTATACACAATTTTGTTTTTGATTTTATATTTAAAAGTTAAATTTTCAATTGCCAAATTCAATTATAATAAAATTGAATTATATTATAAAATATTATTATAAAAATGTATATAATCGAATTATATAAAAAACACCTAAGAAAATGCTCTTTTTTAACTGTAACACTGTATTAATAAACAATTTATTAATGATATTATCTCATTTGAATACTGTTTTCTCTATCTATATAGATTGTGTTATCAATGTATTTACATTTCCTTCTGACCACCATTTGTGTAAGTAAATTTTTTTTTAAATATTTTATAATATAATATATTTTTTATCTATATAAATGGTTTAAACACATTGGACATATGTTTAAATTATTTTTGATAAATAAAAAAAAAACATGATCATCATGATGATGTGTTAAGTACTTTGAGTACTTAACACTTATATCATTTTACTTAAACTTGAGTACTTAATTATATCATTTTGCTGATATCGACTTGCTAGTAGTAGATAATTCTTTTAAAAAGCTAAATAAATACATAAATCAGGATCTAGCTTCATTGGTTTAGTAATTATAATCAAATATCCTTTAATGCCAAAACAGTACTCTATAAAATTTTATAGAAAATTTTAAATTAATTAAATATTAGATTGTTATATATCATTTTAAAGAGCTTCAATACAGTGTCCTAAAAGTTAAAAAATTATCAAAATCAAGCAATTTGACGAAAAGTTATCACATTTTAAGTACCAAATTTTTGATTTATGGATTTTTTGAAGAAACTTTTGTCAAAATAATATTTTTCTTGACTAAAATTATTATAAATTTGTCAATTCTTATCTAAATGCCTATAACTTTGTATCAAAAGATAGGTGTTCAAATAGGTTACAAATTCATATTGGTTGTAGCCATAGGGCGTATCGAGAGGGGCTAGATGGGCACTGAACCAACAGCTTACCCGGTAATAAATTTAAATTTTATACATAAAAGAGTAATTTTTTGTGGAAATTTTTAATTTTCATATGCAAAAAGTAGTTATAATTTGCTTCAGACCATTGCTAATTAAGAGTAGTTTATTTTTGTGTTATGGTGGGTGTAAGGGTGTCAGTTTAATACACTCTATAACTAAAAAAAAAAAAATGTATCTTTATTAAAAACTCCAATAATAATTACAAAAATTTTTTTTAAATAAATGCTAAAATTTTTTGTCTTTACACTAGTAGCGCACATTTAGAATTAAGGAAGGGGTGTGTGCCACAATGCCCTCCAACTTTAAATAAGAATTAAATTTTTGTAATGCGATTTAGAAAAATTTAAATACTATTATATAAAATAATAAAAATAATTATAAAAACATATTTTACCGCATAAGATGTTCCCATTCTTTCTGTAAATCAGCGTTCGAATACCCCACCTCCCACCTGAAATAAATATTTAAAAATAAAAATACTTCAATTTACGACAAATACTAACTTTCATCTTGACTTTTAGTGAATGATTAAAATTTTAAGTTTCATCAATGAAACTAAATAATAATCATTTTTAACAATAGACACGACAAGAACGTAAGCCAGAGCTGCCTATCAAAAAAATTGCGAATCACAACATTTACAGTACCGTTTCTTTAAGTCACATGACTTGTGGTACCTATTTTGCAAGTCACCCCACTGCATTACCATATTTGCAAGTCACACCACCTGCGGTATTTTTTTTGCAAGACACAGCACTTGTGGTTTCCTTTTGGCAAGTCACACCACTTGCCATTACTATTTTCCAAGTCACGCCACTTGCTGTATCTGTTTTGCATTGCCATAGTTACATAGTATTGAAAATAAAAATTATATTTTACTACTTTATAACATACACTAGTTTTTTTTTTTTAATTTTTATTTTACTTCACCTCCTCAAGGCCGAGAAGGCTACTACAGACGAGGAGGCTACTTATTTTGTGGCTATAACCCTCTCTCAACTCTATAACTCCGAAACACGAACCTTGACGAACAAGGCCGCTGCGCAGAGAAACGAGTTGAGCGCGGTACTACCAGGGATGTGGTGGGGATCTAACTCGGAACCACTCGTTTATGAAGCGAGCGCTCTACCACTACACCACTACCGCATAATAGTTGCCTACATGTCAAATCAGTGAAAGAGTTCTGCCCCCCTCTTCCCCTTGTAATCCAAAAAACCATAAAAAAGTTTCAAAACAAAAGGAAAAAATTGCAATTATGAAAAAAAAAAGCTATTTAAAACAACAAAAACAATTTAAGCACAATAACATTAAGTAACATTTAAGCACAATAACATTAAGTAACATTAAAGCATATTAAATTAGGAAAATATTAACTCTCCTGATACAATATCAGCAGCAAGTTGGAATTTTTTCATGCAATGATCAACAGCTTCTGAATCAGTTTCATATTTTTTCCAGTAGAAATAGTATAAATTCTGTCTTCTTTTTTTTTTATTGACTTGACTTTTTCTACTTTCCCATCATAAATGACAGACTTGCTATTATCTGTATCAAACTATTCATGGCAGATTCTCTTCCAACAATTCTTTCATACATTAAATCATATAAGTCATTAAGTTGCTTAGAAGACAAGTGCTCATATAAATTCTCTAAAATTTCATTAAAAGATGGCAAACTCACCTCTCACTCAAACTTCCTTTTTTTTTTTTTTTTTTTTCTATCCATTTTTTGCCTTTTGTATGTCTGTCTTTTTGAAATCTCTGATCTTAATGCAGTATAATTCAGTCAATTTGTTATTCTTTTTACCAAAACTTTTTCTTATACGAGCTGTTTTAATGACCACTTAATTATGTTTTCTCTTTATATTTGGTCAAGACTATCAAGATAATCCATAGTCATATTCTTTTTAGATTGCAATTTGCAAGATATATAACAAATAGTTGCATTAGGGGATCTCCCTTTAGCTTTACTAAACATACCCATCAACTCTTCACTATCTATGTTATGGAACCTTGCACTAGCTGTCTCCTCCATAAATTTAGCTGTAATAGAAATGGAAAAGTATCTTTCATGTTATTGAATCAAGACATCCTCCACTGCCTTAAGACAGGCAAAAGTCATCTTGATAAGCTGATCATCAATAGCACATAGATTTGTAATTGGTTCTAAAATCTTTGGGGGAAGCTTTTTCTCAAAAAAAAAACAGTTCTGCTAAACAGTGCAGCTGGATTGGATTTGCAATCACTTGTTGCTTCCGAAACATTTTTAACTACCTAGATACCAGTTACATGATCAAAGATTGCATCTTCAGCTGATACATAAAAATTAGTCATCCATGGCCCAGTGAGAAGTTTTCCAAATAAACCAAGAACACACATTTGTTTAATAGCAGTTGTGTTACAAAATGCTGCTCGCAAAACTGTTTGTAAAGTGCCACATTTTACTATTCCAGAGGTCAAAAAACATAAAAAGTTATTATAGTGTTTAATATATAATTTAAAATATAACAAATATGGAAAAGAATGTGGAGTTGGTTTCCTCTATATCTTGGAATGATACCACTATTTAGTTTGTTATTGTCTAAAAAATCAACAAATCCTTATAGATTGCCTTTGACATCTTTAAACCTCATTTTGTTCATAGCCAAAACAATTCTAACTGTCATACAATCATATCCAAATAAATCAAAATATTCATTTTCTAGAGACTTTTGTGTCTTGAATTGTGTCAAGAGGGTGCAAATGGCAGTTTAGTTCATACAAGTCTGACATTGTGTTTGATATATTTAAAATAATAAAACTACGACAATCATCAAAGGAAAGCACCAGGGCATGAAACACAAATGGCTTGTTGTAAAGCTCAGCTATATCAGTGGCATTTCTTTAAAAGTTGTAAGACCATTTTTTAAATACACTAACAAGATTTTGGATTTCATTTTTGCAAGTGTTAATGCTAAAACACTCATAAACTTGTGCAACAGTTTTAATAAATAACTCTCCATTGTTAATGAATATAAAGAGTATATGCCCATTTCTACAATCAATGCTTGTTTTGGTAGCTAATGTAAAGTTAGCGACTATATATTTTTTTACAGGTTTTTATACATAACGGAAATGTTAATTTTATTTAAATGGCAAAGTTATATTAGATAATAATTTTTTTTTTATTATTAAACACTGTTAAATTTCTTACAAGTAAATATAGCTAAAGCCCTAACTGGTTGTTACATACTTTCAGATTAGTAAAACAAGGTTGGGTGGGAATAAATGAACAGGTTAGAATTTCCTTCCATATCTAATAAATGGTGGGTCTAAAAAAAGGGTAAGCATTTTTCAAAAATTAATATAAAAATACCTCCATTGTACTAAGCACCTGAGCATACTTTCACTGAGTAATACATTCTTGGAAATTCAAATATTGATGTACTTTGTCAGTTACTTTTTGTTCTGTTATATTATTAGGAACTATAATAGCTAATCATTATTTAACATTATAAATTAAGGTAAAAATATTTTAAAAAAAAAAAAACATTTTAACCATATGCATTTTTCTATTTGAATGTCCAGTTGCAGACTTTAATTTTTTAATTGTTGATGTAAAAGTTTGCAACTGCAACGCCTCTACCATCACTACTCACTCCTCTGCTACCACCGCACCTACAACCCTTACACCTACTTTCTTTTGTTATATTTCTTTCAGAACTTCTAGGCTGGTTCCAGTAACCACTTTGGCAAGAATCTTTTGTATTTATTGTTTTATATATTGGTCGAGCCAATTTTTTTTCTAACTGATCTAGAGGTAATAAAAATCATACAAGTTAAAAAAAAATATCATTACATTATAATAATGTTTTATAGTGACGCTTTTTGATCAAGTGAAGTTTTTAAATTAGATGAAGATAAAGTTCTATGTAATAAAACAAAGTTTTAAGGACAAGGGATGTATGCAAATACTTTTTGACATAATTTTAATAGACTATATAAATTAAGTAAAGTTTTACTATATTATAGTAAAACTTTACTTACCCATTCGATCCAATCATTTTTCTGTATGATCTACAGTAAATAAAAATAATAGAAATTAAAAGAAATTAATTATCAGTACATCATTATATTTTAATAATCTTTTATATTGAATAAGTTTTTTGGTTAGATAAAGATGAAGTTCTACATAATGGCACATAAAGGCACTTAGTTTTTGACCTTTTTTATTTCATTTTTTTTTTAATTATAACAACACTTTTTAACTTGTGGTTTCAGCACAGGCATGGTTACATAAGACGTGTCATAACTTATAACAGACATCCTAAACTCTTAAGAATGAGTTACATTATGTAGATCTTCTAACTAACTTAAAATCTTTTTTTAACAATACAAAATGACAAATAATTTTTGAAAAAATATACTGATTAATTTTATGAAGTGCTTCATTATCTAAAAAATAAATTTTTTATAATTAAGTAATTTTTTATTATTAAGTTTTATATAATTAAGTATAATTAATATAATTAAGTTTTATGTAATTAAGAATAATTATATATATTTTTTTTTATATTATAAAAAAAATTGTTTATAAACATATGTTAATTAAACCTTTACGCTCTACTCTTTCATCAACAATGAATGGATAACTCATTATTATTTAAACTAAATCTAAATCAGATAAAATTGAACAGTTATCTAGATTATATTGCTAAATTTTGTTAACGAAATCCCTCTCATCCGCCCACCGGTTAAACTGTTAAAAAAAAAAAATTAGGTAACAAAAGTGCTGGTAAAAATAAGGAATGTGCTAAATAAAATAAAGCAATGAAATTTGGCAGGTGCATAAAAAGTGTGTAAACTTAAAAGTGAGAATAGGTTCTAAAGTATTACCAAGTTTTATGTAAATAAATTACCTTATAAAGTTTGTCATTGTAATCAAAAGACACATAGATATAAAGTTTAATTACTCTAGATTTTAAAAAATAACTATGTTAATATAAAATTCTATAAAATAAGGCTACAAAACACCATCATACCATGCTGCCTAAACGCAAAAGTCGAAAAATGGAGAACAGTCTTTTGGTATAAAACTCAGTACCGTGAAACACGTATTTCTACGTACTATTTATAGCAAAAGAAACTATTTAAAAACTCAATTATAGAATTAATGTCAAAAACTAAATATTGTTTTTTTATTAAAAATAATCTGCTATCCAATAAATAAAATCCATACCAAACAAACTACATTAGGAAAATAGAATGTTAATCAAAATAAAGAATTTTGTCAAGAATGAAACACTTGTGAATATTTAGCATGCAATTTTTTTTTAATGTTATTCACCTCCCTAAGGTGAAAAGGGCTACTACAGTTGTGGAGGCTAGCTTTTTTTTTAATATTGTGGTTACAACTCTGTACTGTAGTCTCTCTTTGCCTTCAAAACAAACACATAAATATAGCATTGAGTTAATTGAAATATAGCAGTCAATTAACTATTAGAATTCATTTTAAAATTATTTGAAATAGTTCAGGACTTTCTTAATTTTAATACTGTTATTCTACTGAACTTTTCCTTTTCAATTTATGATTAAAATTTTTCTATTTATTACTATTAATTTTACCACTTTATAATATATCACAACAAATGTTTTTATTTTATTATTTTTAAAGAAGTATTAAAAAACTATTTCATTATTATTGTTGTTATAATGAATATCATTAATTTATAGTAATTGTTTATACCATCAAGTCTTTACCCATCATCAGTTTAACTGTTTGTAAATGTCTCACTATTGTATATATATGCAGTTATTATAAAAGTGAAAATATATTGATTGATATAGATTGTTTGCGATTATATTAAATATTTGTATTTAAAAAATTATTTTAAAAACATTTTTATTCAAGTATTTATTTCAGGCAATTTTTTAAAGGAAAAAAAAGTTTTTATTAATCTATGTTATTAAGTTTCACTGTTTTGTAAAAATATATTGTTTTATAAATAATCAAAATTTGAAATAATAATTGGTTATCTTTAAAGTTATTATTATTTATGCACTTTCCATTTTACTTAAAAGTCTTAAATTCATTTAACTAAAATGTATGTACTCTTTAGGAGTTAGTCTATATGATAAGCAGGCTTGGATATGAATGCTGTGCGATTGTATGCTGTAACTGACCATGCTTATAATATTTTTTCTTTACAATTTGACCACAGCGGTTTTGATGTTTTAACAATTTAAATGCAATAAAAAAAATTGTTACATTAAAAATAACTGTTAATCGTTGATCTTTTCTTAAGTTTTTATGTTACACAAAGACTTAAAATAAAAAAGTAATTATAGTGATTGTTTAAAGTAAACATGTTTTGTGTAAATTAACAAATTTTATATTTAAGTTTTATTATGTAGGCATGTTTTATGGTAAATTTAAACATAGTAAGCTGTTTGGATCTATTTTCTCCATGCTTTCAAAAAAAGTTTCTTTAAATTATGATTTTTAAAGTTATTTAAATTATGAACAAGTTGAATTAAACCAATCGAATGAGTTTATTGCTTTATTTTTTTTTTTTTTTGTTTCTATTTTTACAAAGAATTGTTTAAACTTTTTTTTTTTAACTTGACTAGCTAATCAGCATGAAATAATTACTAATAAAAAAATTACTATTTTAAATAGACTACAGTATTTTTTTAAATAATTTTTTTTTACAACTTATTGGAAAAATTAAATGTTTATACTATTTAAAAATAATATATATAACACTTTTTAGTGATTTAAATCAAATTTGTTAAATAATTCATTAAATAATTATTAGAAGTGCAATCATTAGAAACAGTAGTGCTTGATTGAACACCATTCCTGTCCAAGTCTGGATTAGCAGTGGCAATTTCAGGGAGAAAGAGGGTGGGTGGGGGGGAGTGAATAAAGGTATTAGGACTTCACCCAGATTTTTCCTAACCTAAAGTAAACCTAAATTAAGTTCGACTACTTAAAGATAAATAATAATAGATGAGCAAGATAAATAATTATATATGATTTTTTTTCATAGCAGTCATTGTGATATTTGCCTTTTAATAGATAATGCAAATAATAAAATTGTTGCAGAAAAGGCATGTCACTGATATATTTTTATGAAAAATACTTCTGAATTTAGTGCTGATAGTTATGTTGTTCTTTTAGTAATATAGTCAAAATAAAAACTAAAATTATGAAGAATTGCTATTTTAGTTTAAACTATTTTTTGACTGTTGGTCTCTAAACCTCTACCACCCTTTAATTTTTTTTAACAATAAAAATCTACATAGTATTAAAAGTAAAGACATTTTAAAAATATTGTTGGACAAAACTGATGTTTATATTAACTGTTTATATAAAACTTCAATATATAGTGATGATGTCATACTTAAATAGACACGTGTAGGGATTCAGTACACAAATTTTAGTTTATTTCATTATTCTTTTTTTTTCTTCTATGTTGAAAGTTGGTCTTTAAAATATCTGTGAGAAAAAAATATATATATTAGAATAAAGCCAACCTAAACCCACAGTAGTATATTAAGTGTTTAGAGGCATTGGTGCCTGAAACAGAGGTTTTAATTTTTTTTTTTCTTTAGATATATAATAATTACAACCATTACATTTTTTATTAAATATATCAAATATTTTTTTTAGGTGGGAGTTGTTGCAAGCAAAATAAACACAAAGTATATTATGTCAGTTGATGATATCAAAGAGTACAAAAAAATACTTAAAACACATAAAAACTTGTTGACAGTTTATTCGTCTGATGGTAAGTTAAGTTATATAATTTATGTAAAGTTATGGATAAAAAGTGTAATTTTAATCTAACGAGCTATCTATACACAAATCTTTGTGCATAGATAAATCTATACACAAAATTTTGTATAAAATAAACAACCTTTAGTCATAAATGTTACGTCATTAAAAACTAAGTAAAAAAAATTTTGTTATTGTAAACAGAACAAAACTTAAAATTTAAATTATGGTTGTTAAAGAGGTTATAAAATGTTTTATTTGCTGCATTTTTTGATATTAAAAAAAAAAAAAGACTAAATTGATTTTGTATATAGATATACTATTGAATATTTAATGTAAGGTGCAAAATATTATTTAAAAGTTATACCTCGCATTGATTACAATAGTTTTTGTTTAGTTTCACAATGGTTTCTTTAGAATTTAGTGAAGGTTAAGTTTGATGCAATAGTCTTGTTTATGTCATATGATTCATATTGTTGCATTAAAATATGTGTATTGTTTTTTGTATTGTTTTTCTGTATCATTTTGTTTCTTTTTGTCAATCTTAACAAAGCTTTTATTTTGTGAAGCAAAAAAGTTGAAAGCCAAAACTGCAAAGAAGTGTTTTAAATATAGAATAATATTCTATTATTCTCTCTCAATCAATCAAATTTAATTTAGTTGAATGTTCAAAACATTATGTTTTTAACATTTTAAACATTTTTCATTATACTAAGACTTTTTTTTTAAAAAAAAAAAAAAAAAAAAAAGAATTCTATATGCATTATTAATTATGTTCTAATAATGATTTTTTACGTGCATCTTAATAATATTTTTTATTCTGTTAATTTTGTTTGACAAAAGTTAAAATAAAAATTTCAAAATACAACAATGTTTAATAAAACAGTACAGTCATCCTTCGAAATATTAAATTGCGTGTCGGCTTCTTTTTATTAAGTTTGGTGAAATAACACACTGTAGTGTACTCACTGTTAAATTACTTTAAATGCTTTTTAAAGTTTTCTTTTAAATAATCCCAAGGAATAAAATCTTCATAGATCAATATATGGTTTTAATAATAAACACATATTTAAAAGTAACAAATTTTTAAAGGCACAAAATATTTTAGTTTGATAGCAGAAAAAAAAATTTAGTTTGCCATTATTAAAAAAATCATATTTTGATATTTTGAATTTCAAAAAGATTTTCTGAAAGTATGCATAGCATAGTTTCACAATTTTCAGTAGTGAAAACTTATGCCCCCCTTTCCACAATTTTTATCTGGGCTTCTTAAGTATTTAATTGCTGAAAAATTTGTCATATTCAAATAGTTTATTTAAGATGTTTAGATTAGATTAAAGTTTTAGATTTAGATTAGCTTAAATTTAGATTAGATATTTATATTAAATTTATAAAAGGTAACTGTTTTTTTTTTTTTTTTAAAAAAAAGTTCTCCAAGCCAGGTGTGATGGAGAATTTTTCAATTGAATAGTGCCCCACACCACCCAGGAAAAAAATTAAAGGAGTGGTTTGCAAAAAGTTCTATAAAAATATTTGGAAAAATGGTCTGGAAACTCTCCAAACATAAATCTAATCAAGAACCTATGGAAACAACGAAAGGTGATATCCACACTGTACAACAAAAACTAAACTGATTGAACTGTTGGTATAGGTGTGCAGGCTTTGTATTAAATAAAAAATGCTCAACGCAATAGCCTAATTTGAGTTTGACGTCATAAAATTTTTATATTTTTATTTTTTAAAGGCTAAGGTAATTAATGTTTTGCAGTAATTTAAAAAAGTTAATAACTTTTCAAATTACTGCAAAACATAATAATTACCTCAAAACGAGTTAAATGTTATTTAACTTCTTTTTTATTATTACTATAAGGGAATGTTTGTTTTCTTATATATTTTTTTAATACTAAATAATTAAATTTAATATTACATCTTTCATGTTTGATATTAACAAATCTTGAATGTTTGATATTAACAAATCTTATACTATTCACAATATTTGCATAAATGAATTAAAAATATGTTAAATTTTTGAATTTTTAAATGATTATTTCTTAAATTTCTAATTGCAGCTTTGCAACTACAAATGATTTAAAAAAAAAAATTAGAGAATACCAAATAAAAAAGTTACATTAATTTATTTACTCTATTTATCAAAAGTTTAATATTTTATTAACGATTTTGTTGTGAAAGCAAAAATTATTTTTCCAAATATCATTCATTAAAGTTATATCGCTGTATATATCATTTATTAAAATATTATCGCTACGATTTAATTTGCGTTATAAAAAAAAAAATTAAACTTACCTTTTGTGCACATTTTTGATGCAGTCTTATTTAAATTTAATTGTCAGTAAAATAAAAAATGTTTAGGAAGGAAAACCAAAAAAACAATTGCAATAAAAATGACCTAATTTTTTTTTTAAGAACAAATAGAATTTAAATATTGAACAATATTTAGTAATATTTTTAAATAAATTTGATAGTTAAGTTAAACGTAAGCATTAACTTTAATTTTAATAAACTTAAATGTATTTTTTAAATCAAAATTAAATTATATACTTTTATTATCAGAATAAAATTATAGAATTAAGTTATATTATTATGATCTTTGCTTCAAGCCTAAAGTATTAGCGTTTTTAAAGCGAAAAAATCAATCATTACAGTAAAATAAAAATAAAATAAAAAGAAATTTATAATTTTAGTTGAGTTTTTTCAAATATATATAATTATATACATAATTGTCATTCAAACTTTTGTAACATAATTTTTTACATAATCATCATTCAAAAGTTAATGTGGTTTTTTTAAAAATTAATTACTTCTTTTATCTTACTGCTTATAGAATAATTTAAAAGTTAAAAAACAATAAAAAGTTGCTTAACCAAAATCGCTTACTGCTTATGTAAAATCGTTTAAGGCATACGTAAATCGCTCTAGGCGTAATGCTTTAAAACAAGGCCTGGGTGTGGTTCCATAGAACATAGGCTTTGTTTTAAATATCAAAAAATAAAGAACTTTCAAAAGTTTAATTTTTTCAATGCCTAACCCTGTTAGTGCTCCATAATAGGCTAAAGTTGGCCTACCTAAGTACTGAAATATTTAGTGGGCTATTTGAAGCAGGTATTAAATATTTTCTTATGGCTTATTCATAAAAATGAAGAAAAAGTATTGAAAATTTGAAAAATCTATAATAATTTTAGCAGTAATGTACATATTATATAACCCTTTTCCTTATGCAAACTCAACTTAATTATATAACCCTTTTCCTTATGCAAACTCAACTTAATAGTAAAAAACTGATGGTTTAAAAAAAACTGATGGTTTAGAAAAAACTGATGGTTTATCAAATGAATTAAAGCAATAAAGTTTAATAATAATTTTTAATAATAATAGTAATAATATTTTTTTTTAATTTATTAAATATTTTTTTAGATTATAATTTCAACATCAACATAATTTAGTTAAATAACAACTATTGAGTTTTGTGAAAAAAGAATTTCAGTTTATAAAAAACAAAATTTTAAAGACCAGAAACATTTCCAGATATCAAAATTTGCAATCACTTAATTCGAGCTTTGTGATGAATGGCATAACTCATATACAGATTTTATTACTTGTTTTGAATTTCTCTTTCTTTTTTAAAATAAGGACACCATGACTGTATTGCAAATTCTAAATGCGGATGTATATAACTGCAATGCAACAATTTTGTTAGTCCACTATTTTTATACTTAAATGATTTGCATATTAGACTTATTAATTAGATTGCATCATCTATTCCAAATTACACATTTTTAATAGATGGTGCAATTTTATTTTGTGGCTCTCATTTTAAATCATTTTAAATTAATATGGTCTTTTTCTAATTTATTAGTAATAAAGTAATTAACTTTTACAGTATTGTTAGTCATGAAATATTTTCAAATTGAGTTGCATTTTTCAGTTTGTTGTATTTTACTTTTATTTTTATTAAACAACCCAATTGTCATTTTATAAAGCAGTTACATTTTTGTTGGTTATTAACTTCAGCTATTACTTTACAAGCATCTGCAAATAACATCATTGGATTTTATAAGTTAAAAATAAATTTGAATCAAACACAAGTTCTTGTGGTACACAGCTTACTATACTTACCCATGATGGTACACCATGATGTCCAAGTACAACCCTTTGCTTTCTATCAGTTAAAAAATAAGTTATTTACTTTAGTAACTTAGATGCAATGTCATATGCTTAAAGTTCATCTACTAATCTACTATGCTTTATCAAAAGCTTTTTTGAAATCAGTATAAAAGATATCAAATGATATATCATTTACAACACCTATCATTCTCTATCAATATATTCCAGCAGATTAGTTGTACAATGTTTATCTTTTGCTGATAAAAAAATAATAAGTTATTATCCTTCAAATGATGTAAGAGTTAAATGATGTTAGATATTAAGTGTTCTTAAGTTTTTACAAAGAATAAAAGTCAGGGAAATTGACAATCAGCCATCACTTATAAGCAACTGCGTTATGTTGGCTGCCTTTTATGAATTAGGCACTACATTGTCATTGATGTTCATTAGGATGCTCAATCAAAGCATTGCTAATGTAGCAATGTTTTTTGCTTTGCTACATTAATAATATCCATGTATGGAATGTTTCATGTAGTATATAGGAATCTTAGACTAATATTATGAAGTTCTCTGTAATAATTCAGAATTGTATTGTTGGCTAAATCTAGTATCCTTCATAGATTTTTTAAAAAACAACAGTATTAGAGCATAAAATTCATTCAAAATTGCAAAAAAATAGTAATTTGTGATGTTTCATATAAATGAAATGATCTTGTTCCATATAGATGAAAAAAATATATAGACAAAAAAGGCAATTAAATAAAAACAAAGATATAGCAAAATCAGTATTCAATTTTTTCGAAAAAGTGAACAGACTTGGGAGTGGCTGAACATTGTAAAAGCTTGCAAAGGAAGTATTGATTGCAGCTCTCAGAATTAGGGTTAGCATTCAGCAATGTCGACCTAACTGATGACCTAGAAGTGAATCTCTATATATACAACAATTAACACTGATATGTATGAATAAAACAAGTCAAGTATGAATTAGGTAATAAGATAAAATTCAGATAAAGGATTTGAGTCAAAGCTAATTAATTGCAAGGTGTTTACACATATGAAAAAGAATCAACCAAGTTTAAACAAGTCCAATTCAAAAGACTCAAAAGCAGGCTAAAAATTAGTTTGTCTCAGCAATGGCATCCAAAGACTTACTAAAATTTTACTAAAATGCGGTTAGCATCTAATAAAATGCTCTGACAATTAGGAGCCAAAATGTTTTTGTAATTAATGTTCTTTGAAAAAATTTTAACAATGTAAAAATTATAAAAAAATTTAAAAACTTAACTTTGTCAACTTGATCTTTTCAATTTATATTTATATATAATGTATTAGAGATTAATGTAAATATGAATTTATTATTATATTAATATGTTAGTAACAATGAATTATTTTAAACTATTTTAAATTAATGCATTTAATAATTATATTTATTTTTTTGATTTAATAGTTTATGATTTTTTTTGTTTTGTTTTACTTTTTGTTTAATATTTTTTAACACAATGAAATCAAAATTTATTTGTGAGTTTTTGAATTTTAGATAAATCTGCTGTTAAAACACTTAAATGGCTTGATAATGTATCAAAAGAAATTAAAGGAAAAGGATCAATTATCCACATTAACTGCGGGTTAAAACTTGTTAATATTTACCACAAAAAAAATTAAATTTAATCCTGTTAAGTTTACTAATAATATTTTTATTGATATTTAATAGTGAAAACAAAGAAACTAAAAAACTCTGCAAAAAGTATGAGGTCAACCCACAACCAATTAAACTAAGACATTACAAGTGAGTTATTTTTCTTTCTAAATAAAACTTTTTATTTTTATTAAACAACCCTCAAGTACATATCAAGCTCCTAATTGTTTTATTGTCCACATACAACGGTAGACCAAGGAGTTAGTGTACCTGTTTAAAAATTTAATTTATGAACTAAAAGCCACATATGTTAGTAAACTGATAGTTATACTTTATTCTTTAAATTAAAACTCTGTTTTTAATTTCTAGAGATGGAAACTTTAACAAAGATTATGACAGACAAGAAAATGAAAAGGTTTTCTTTTTATGTATTTCGTCTTTATATTTATATATCTCAATATGCTAGAAAATAGCAATAAATGCAAAGTTGATGAATTACTCAATCTAGTATATAATTAATGATTACTAGCTGTCATGACCCGTACAATACGGGTCGTGGCAAGTCTAATCCACACCCGACTATTTATAAACTTGTTCCTAATTTAGTCTTTATACTTTAATTTGTTTTAGTAACTGGTAAAAAATAAATCAATTTAAAGTTCTGGTAGTTGGTAAAATGCAAACTTTTTTGCGAACCATAAATCTATTGCTTGTTAAATTATAATTAATTTCAAAGAAAACAGTCTAATTTAAATAAATATATCAAATACCATTATATTTAATTTAAAAAATAGATGAGCAAGTATTTTATAAATATCATGACTACTGTGCTCATTAAAATGTCTTGGTTTGCTATAAAGTACGCAGTTTTCATTTTACTGACTACCTAAAGTTCTTGCCTTCTTAATTAATTTTTAATTTACCATACTTCAGAGCTATTTAGTATTTTTACTTATTACGTTATTTACTTTAATATTTTTTACATAATAAAAGTATCTTATATTAGCATATAAGATAGCTGCATAACATTTCTTCAGGTGTTTTGGGAAACTTAGGCTATGATAATATTATAACTCTCTAATAAGGATTTATTTAAAAAGCAAATTTGGACGTTGAAAAATGGGCCCAAGAAACCTTGTTATTTTAAATAAGTTAGTTTTATCTGTTTGATATTTTTTATAAAAGCCTTTCAGTAAAAAAAAACTCTTTACAAATTCATACAATTATTATGTTTTTACTGCGGAATTAGGTAAATAAATTTTCAAAACTGTTGTCTGTGCAATCGATACTTAATGCAAATGGAAACCATCTTGATTGTACAAAAGGTAATAATAAAAAGTATAAATAGTTTCCATTCAAATATAAAAAGATTATGGAAATGTAAAAAACAAAGCAAAAGTAGTCAATATATCCATTCAAAACAATAATTCCAAAAATAAAAAATGTAGAAATTTACTTGAGAAACAAACAAAAACATTTTCTTGAGATAAAATCAAAAAAACAAACTTAAAAAAAAATTTATATTCAAAAATACATTATTTCATTATTATATATATATATACTTTTTTTTTTTTTTTTTTTTTTTTTTTGTTGTTATTCACCTCCCCAAGGCCGAGGCCACTACAGGCGAGGAGGCTACTTAATAGTGGTTATAACCTCTCTCAAATCTATAACTCCAAAACACGAACCTTGACGAACAAGGCCGCTGCGTGGAGAAACAAGTTGAGCGCGGTACTACCAGGGACGTGGTGGGGAACTCGGAACCTTTTGCTTATGAAGTGAGTGTTTTACCACTACACCACTACTGCATTTTAGTAAATGGTATGAAGATTATCAAGCTTCATTTTAGCTTTTTGAATACAATCAACATTTAGAACATTTCTTAAATTCTGCTATGTAGGAACTTTCAAAATCATTCATAGAAGAAGGAATTTGACCTAAAAATGGAACAAAATTATTATTGAATACACTTAATACACATTATTTGTTATTTATTTGAAAACTCAAAAATGTGACTAAACAGGTGACAAATAAGAAACTTACTTTGTGAGGTTGTTTATCTTTTGTGAAAGTTTCAAGATTTATTGTTGCAAGTTTAGATTAACTAAACATAAATGATCAAAATAAGATATACTTTTGTTTTTATTTGAAAACTGAGTCTTTAGCTTTTAGTGAATGATTATATGTAGTCAGTTTCAGTAATAAAACTTCCCAATAATCATTTTAAATTAAAGACCTCGACATGAAAGTAAACCAAGTCATCTAATCTATCAACACAAAACAACACAAAAACACATCACAAAATTAACAAATAACATAACTATTACAGTAAATTCTAATATTTATTTAATAATGTTTGTAGGCATTTAAATTAGCTTATTTTGTATAAAAGTCAAATTTGATTTTTTTTTACCTTTTAGGCTTTTCAAAAAATGGCTACAGTATTATAAAATAGTATGTACAATAAAAGCAATCAATTAAGTTAGTTAAGTATGAGTACATCAACACTTGTTGAGCCAGAAGAAGCAGCTAACGCTATATATATATATATATATATATAAAGAAAAAAATACAATAATAATACTACACTCTTGCTGTAAACTCATAAACCAAGTCACAACACTCTAAAGCCATGGAAACAACATAACCACTTACACATAACACACATTGAAGCACTTTATATATTACAAGTATTTATGACACAGAATTTATGATTGCATTAAATTATCTAATATAAAATTTAAGATCTTATAACTGAATCAACAGATTATAATAAAAATAATAAAGATTTAAGAATACCTTATCATGTGGTAATAAATATAAAGTGATATATTATATGGTCAAGCATAACAAATCTTCTTTAAAAACTCAGAGTCAAACACGCATGAATGAGTAAGCAGCATTGAATTAAACATTAATTATATAGGACTAATTAGTTTGTATTTAGGACTAAAAGTTTGTCTAACAGCAAGCCTATAACTATAATACTGGGACAAAGTAACACAATGCTCCAGTTAATTGTGCCATCATCATTTTTCTCCTCTACTTCTGCCATGTTTTTATATGCAGAAGCAAATGGGTTTTCTTGATTATTTAAAGTTTGTAAAGGTTGCGTTAACTTGTTTATACAACCACTATTACCAAGTTGCACCATTTTGAATGAGACTGCTACATTAGGATTATATATATTTAACTGACAATACGTGGGCAGAAAACTTTCTTCAGGCCATAAATTTCCAACATGATGCAAAATTTGCCCATAAACCCTAAAACAGAAAGGGCAATTATTTGATCGGTGAATTATTTTGGCTGTGAAGGTAGCAAAAGATAAAAAGGAATTATAACACCTATCCTGATATCTTTAATTTCTACAGCAGTTTATTTCAGCTCACCTAAGCTCATCTCTTTGATTTCAACAACAATCTACCTCAGCTAGCTCATCTCTTTCATTTTGGCGGCGGTTAAATTCAATTTGCCTAGCCTGGTTTCTTTAATTTCATCGAAGCCTTATAATTTTACTTCTTTAATTATTAGACATAACTGAGCATCAAAGGAGTGTGTAAAAATGATGCTTAATATAATAAAAGTTGCACTTTTATTTCAAGATTAAATTCTAGTTTTCTTTCTTAACTTATCTTAAATAGAGTGTTAGCAAATAAAACATATAATTAAATATTCTAATATATAATTAATTATTCTAACATATAATTAATTATTCTAATTATATTCTACCTCTACTATTAGTCAAATTTAAATTTGATGTTTTAAAATACAATAGCAATGTATAAAGATAACATGTTCCTATCAAAAACATAAACAAAAGTTATAATAAGAAAATGATATAATCTTTATAACTGAGTAATGTTATATACTTAATGTATTTACTAAAACTTATGTAACACTTTGTACACATACCTTTATAAAAAAACAAACAATAAATTTAAGTTAAACATATTTAATGAAGGAAATAAAGACTGTTAATTGTTTAAATTAGGTGGAGTTATTTATAAAAAGGAAGCCAGTTTTTTAACAAAAAAGAACAGAGTATATATATCTTTTAACAAACATAATAAATTTTTGAGTAATTTTTTTAATATCTTAAAAAAATTTACTAAGTAATAGTATAAAAAATATTTAATTAAGTATAAATCTGTTCAATAAAATTTACCTAAAATTGTAAATATTAAAAAAATTAAAGATATTTAAAAAAATATAGATATTAAAAAAATTATAGATATTAAAAAACTGTATATCTTTTTAACATTTTTTACAAACACATTTTTTCAACAATATTTTTTAAATGCATTTTAGGAATACACTAATTACAAACAGATTTAATTTATGTGTTTCATCGTGACAGTACACCACTCTACTTGCAAGGACAAAATTTTCACTCTCAACAAACCAAGTCAAATTATATCAAAGTACACCACTTGGCTAGCAAGTTCAACACTTATGTTGTAAACTAAGCCAAGTCGCAACAATTTGAAACCATGCAAACAACATAATAACCGCTTACAAACTATAAACAAATAACATTATATCACTAACATAGAAACACTCATATATAAAAGATATTTACACACTTACAAAATATTATCCCATATAACCTTAACACATATAAACACATAATAAATAACAGACAAATATAAATAAATATATAAATTAAGAAAAATATATAAGTTAGAAACTTTATAAATACCACCTTATTTTTGTAATATTTGTTTAATGACATACTTCGTAATAAATGTTTAACAACTTGGAAACCAACTTGGAGTTTTACCTCTTGACCTTTGAAAAGAGCAACGTCTTCTAGAGTCATCGTCGTCTTTTAATTTAAAAATTACATATTAATATACCTTAAAAATTAATTGAAAAAGGACTTGAATTGTTTTATTATTATAATGCATGAAATAAATAAACTACCTGACCTTAAAAGTTACTTGACTAATTCAAAAATAACATAAGGTTCATTCTTTACTACAGAAGTTATCAAATAAAAATTGTTGACTAATTAAGCTGATAAAGCAGAGTTTTCCATCTGATTAAGCAGATATTATTAAGATTTGAGAGTACCTCATTGCGTGAGTTCAAAAGTATAAAGAAAAAAAGCATGCTAAATCCTATTTATAATAAAATTGAAAGGCCAAGTATGATAAAGACTCAGCTAAGTATGGTAAAAAAGTCTGTGTAAATGCGCACAAATGGGCAGCAGCAATGTTAAGTTATGCAATAATATAAAGTGATTATTGATACACTATTACAGGCAGATTAACAACATAAACTGATACACTATTACAGACAGTTTAACAACGTAAACTGGTACACTATTACAGACAGATTAATGACTTAAACTGGTACCCTATTTCAAACACAAACACATAAACTAGTACTCTACTACAAACAGACTATTACAGACACAAACTGTTACACTATTACAAGTTGATATAATATTATCAGTATTATTTTTATACTATTTTGTATAATTGGTGTACTCTTATGACCCAAAAAAATGATCAATTTGTTGTTGAAATGATCAAGTTTGTTGTTGCTCCATAATGATGTCCTAGTTTTATGAAAAGTGTTCTAAATACTCACCTTATTTCATATTTAGGTATTCAAATCTTTTGTTCTTGTGTTGGTAAGGTTTTTTTTTTAATTTAATAAAGGTATTGGCAAATTTATTTCTATGGTTTAGTCAATGGTCTCATTTATGATGGATCCAACTGGAGATGCTCCTTGGGAAGAGGATCAAAGTGCTCAAAATGTTGTACATATAAACAATGAGAAGGTAGAGTTCAAAATTATAATTCATTAATGCTTTTAAAAACTTTAATGCACAGTATGTCATGCTTATATGTATAAAAAATAAAAAAGATAAGAAAAGCTGATTTTATTTAAGACATTTTTTAGAAAAAGAATTTTAAAAAGTTTACACAAATTTCTTTGATTTAAATTTATAATAATTGATATTTATTGATTTGTTTAAAACTTGTCAATTGCTGACTTGCACACCTTATATATCTAAAGGTGGCCAAAAAAATTTGCATGCATACAGATCTAATGGCGTGCATTGTACACCTTTTTACTCCAGACATGCAGTTTACTTTAAATCATTTTTAGATTTTAGATTTTTTTCAGTTATTTTGTATTTTTATTTAATTAGAGTTGATAGAAACTGTGAAGTTGATTTTTCTTTAAGTATAAAATACATAAATTAAAAATACACAAATTGTTTGATACTTGTCTTCATATTATTTCTTTAAAAATTTCATTGAAGTTTGAAGTATGGCATCATAAAATATATTTTATAATAAAGCATTATAATAAATAATTTATTATAATACTTTGTAATGAAATAAAGCATTATAATAAATACAATTATAATAAATAAAAGCATGATATAATAAAATTAATAAAATATATTTTTGTATTTCACATATAGTAGTAGTAGTAGTAGTAGTAGTAGTAGTAGTAGTAGTAGTAGTAGTAGTAGTAGTAGTAGTAGTAGTAGTAGTAGTAGTAGTAGTAGTAGTAGTAGTAGTAGTAGTAGTAGTAGTAGTAGTAGTAGTAGTATATTTGTTACAACAAAAGTAAAAATAATTGATAAAGTACAAATCATAGATTGTCAGATTACAGTTAGTTTTTGTGAAGCTCATATTGCAATTTTCAATAAGGAAAGCTGTGAGCTGTAGTAACATTGGAGCTTATTGAGGCTCGCTTTAAAGCTGTTGGAGAATTGATTATCTGGTAGCATGTTCCATGCATTGACATGTGATTGTTAAAAAAGTGGAAATGGTTGCTGTACTTTTGTGGCTCTGTGCTGTATTAGCTCAATAATTTTTTTATCCTTCACCAAATGAGGGTTCCAAGCTGGAATTACAAACTCAAGTAAAGGACGGATGTAGGTGGAGTTAGTTTGCATAAAGAAGCATCACGAGATTGGAAGGTGTGTTTTAGGATGCCTAGCATCCGGCAGATTGTTGATGAAAATGACAAATAAAATTGGACCCAAGACTGATTCTTGCGGAACCCGGCAATATATCTCAAACTATAATTATATGTTAAAAAAGAAAAGTTTTTATTTCATCAGGCGCTCTTTTTATAAAAGAGTAGAACAAAAGAGAAAGAAAAGTTTCGCGCAATTAAACTTTGAATGAATAAAGAGTTGTATAGAATATATATTTTTTTTGCGTCACTCGTTCTTTTTTTAGATGAGAGAAATAAAAGTTTAATAGTAAATTTTCTTTGAATAAATGAGAATTGGAAGAGAAAATTGCTTGAAAATTTGTATTTGTTAATTGTGTTTTTAAAAATTTTTAATTTTTCATGTTAATTTTCAATGCCAATTACGGCACAAATTTGGAAATACCAAATATAATATGTTTTTTAATGCACGTTATGACATTTTAACAATTTAAATTACCATCTATCTTGAATTATTGTGTTAATTATTGCGTTATTTAATAGTAATTTGTCCGTATTTTTGTTAAATATTAGTTGTATAAAACGGGCGAAAATATACAAACTTCATGTTTTTTGTTTGATGTTATAAAATATTGAACATTGAACTTATAATCAAAATTTATAATGCCGACTTGTGTTGCAATTAATTGTACTTTTAATGCAAAATCAGGATCTCACATATCCTTTCACGAATTTTTATATCTGATACTACTGTCAACTGTATTGTTTAGTGTATTCTTGTACTTTTTTTTCATAATTTTAACAGGTTCTAATTGGTATGGAGTTGCTGACATTTTAAAAATTTTATTATCAAAAATCAAATGTAAAATAAAATGGTATTTCCTTTTTATCCCTATTTAATTCAGCAAATTTAGCAATCAGCGTGATCAAAAAAAATTTATAATAAAAAAAGTTAACAATTCATTAAATATCTCTAATTAATACTGTCAGTTTATGAAAGTAATTGTTAATAAATACTTTTTTTCAACGGTAAAACAAAAAATTGTCATCGCGTAAAAATAACCAGAGAAGTTAGAAAATAGTTCCCATTGTTTAAATAAAAATAATTAAGAATCAGAATATATAATACTGTGCTCTCTTGCGCAAAAACAAGAGACTGTATATAAAACATTCTATATAATGTAAAATACTCGTATGAAAATCATGAGATTGGTAAATAAAGCTTTAATATTTGTTTTAATTTAAATAATTAAAGAAATATAAGTAAGATATATAAATCTAAAAATTATTAAGATATCTGTAAAGAAGCTTTAGTTTGACCCATAATTGCTCTGCATAGTAATGAATACAATTTTTGTGTAGTAGGGATTCTTGCAGTTGGTTTGAGATGATTTTATTGTTTGTGTATATAGCTACACCTCCTCTGATTTCGTTCAGACAGTCTGAATGATAGAGGTTGTAGCTTGGAAGAGAGGGAGTTGATTGGTTGTTTAACCATGTCTCAATGATAAAAATAATGTCAAAGAAGTTGTTTTCTGCAAATAAGGAGAGTTTGATGAGTTTTATTGGATTGAGGGATGTTGCATTAGTGTAGAAGCACAAAAGATTAGATAATTTAATGGAAGAGTTGGCCTTGTTTAAAAATGTTGAACTAGTAAGATGCTGAGAGCAATTGAACAGCTTCAGCCATTATATATATATATATATATATATATATATATATATATATATATATATATATATATATATATATATATATATATATATATATATATATATATATATATATATATATATATATATATATATATATATATATATATATATATATATATATATTACCCTTTCCTAATATTTCCATTTAAGGAATGAGTTCCTCTCTTTTCCATTGATATTGACTGTTTTGGGCGTGTCAATGCATTTGATTTTTTCGCTGTGGATGACAAATCAAAAGGATTTGTCAAGTAAATCTTTTGCCAATAGTTCTGCATTTTCGGTAGCACGCTTTTTGTTCAAGTTATTGAATGTTTAATTTGTTGAATATAAAAGTCAAGTCTTTTTTAATAAGTTTTTTTAATTATAAAATAATATATTAATACCTTTATATCAAAGTTGTTTATGAGATGAACTTGTGTCGTTTTTAAAATGTTTCTAACTTCAATACTTTTTTTTCTCTGAAATTTTTTTTTTTTTTTTTTCTTTTTTTGCCTTGTTAGAAATAAATTTAAAAGCATCTTCAACAATTAATTTAAAACAAAATTCTAAATGTTTTTTTTTTTTTGTTAAGAAAAATATTAAAAACCCAGAAAATAAAATTTTGTATTGTGCTAAAAAACTCTAAACTATTAAAAATTTTTAATTATGTTTGTAATTGAATATCTTCTATTTAGTATATAAATTTCTGTTTTTAGGACTTGAACAAATTGCGCAAAAAAGAGAAAGGGCAGTTACTGATCATGTTTTATGCACCATGTATATATTATTTGTGTTATATTTCTTTCAAAATTTGACAAATTTTTTTCTGCTTTCCAAGAACACTTTTAAAAATAAAAAATGGTTTGATAACTTAGGGTGTGGTTTTTGCAAAAAGTTAAAACCTGAATATGCTGGTGCTGCTGATGAGATGAAGAATAAAGCCGTGAGTTTTTTCATTTTTGAAATACATTTATGTTATTTTGTTTAATATTTATGTTTCTACTAAATATAAGATAAGTTTATTTTTTAGAATGATGTTTTCATGTTATTGCAATATTTATCAGATTTTATGTTTAAAAAGTTTAGAGACATTTTTAGAATTTTCTCTGAACTAGTTTTAATGAAAGAAATAATTTATTTTATTCTTGTAGCTTAAACAAGTTAATATTTTCTAGCAGTTTATTATTTATAATTAAGAAAAGTTTTTATGCGAAATATATGTATTATGTTTTTATATATATTTTTAAGTATTTTTATCTAGGTTTTAGCAGCAATGGATGTTGATAAACCTGATGTCTATAATGTGCGCTATCAATTTAATATTACTGGATATCCAACAATTATTTATTTTGAGTAACCAGTTATTTTCATTTATGTTTTAACTTTTTTTTGAAGCAATAAGTTTTCTTTATATATACATTGTACCTTCCCAAGCCCAAACCCTCAGTCGATATATTTACTAAAGCCATGGATATGCTGGCATTAGAGCTTATGTTGGAATATTGCATGGGCTCTTTCCATTTATTGTAGAAACAAGGAATATCTTTTTCCAGAATTATGGATATTTTTTTCAACTTTTACTTTGTCCGGATATCCAAAACATTTTTCATACATACAAGTTTAGGTATATATTTTTGTGATATATTTGTTTTTTAGGCTTTTTAACTCATCACTTATAGAAAAATTATGAAAAACTTGAAAAAAAAATTAAAAACAACTCAGCTTAAAGCAAAATTAAAATAAAAATGAGAAAAAATATTCCAGATTTTTTCTGGATATTTTATCCAAACAATTTTTCAGATTTTTAAAATATGACACAGATGATCTATGTAGAAAGGCCTATTTGCAAAATAAATATTTTATTTCAAAATTTTTTATTTTTCTAAAATAATTAAAAGCAAATAATTTACAATCACTTTTCTCTAAAGCCTCTAAAAATAATGTTATACTAAAAAAGCAGACAACTATTTAAGCATGACATCATTGATAATATTTTATATAAGGCTAAAAAAACTGTTTTTTGTGACATTAAATTTTTTCCACAGTTTGCTCATAAAAAAAAACTTACAGTAAACTCATTCCAGAAAAAATTCAAAAAATAGTTTTGATAAATTTTAATTACTAAAATTGTATATATTTCTGTTCTTCGAGAATATTGCACAAATTTAATTTTGTATACAAAATTATTTTTTTATTTTTTTTATTTCTATTAAGAGATGGAAATGAAAAGTTTCGATATTCTGGTAAAATGGACAAAGAGGGTATTGTGACATGGCTGGCAGAGTGAGTACATTTGAAATAAATTATAAAAATTTAAAAACAACATTTCTGTTATCTAATATTGTATAAAAAATACTTTTAGTCCTAAACCAGTATCAAAAGAAGAACAAGGTGATGATTGGGAAGCTCCTGAAATAACTCATCTAAATAATGATAACTTTGATAGCACTTTAAAAACAAGTGTATCAACAATGGTTATGTTTTATGCACCATGTATGTTGTTATTTTTTTTTTTTTTTTTTTTTTTTTTTTTTTTCTTTAATTTTTTCATTACTAGTATTTATATTATTCACTAATATTAATTTTTATAATTTCAAAAAATTTTAATAAAATTTTAGGATAATAATATATAATGAATGAAATATTGACAGAAAATATTTTTATTGATTGAAATTGTAAATTGAAATCATAATTTTCATAAAATCTGTTATTTCAATAAAAAGTAATGATATACAACTTTTTAAAAATGATAATAAACAACAAAACAAATAAAACAACTTTACTAAATTTTTAATGTAAATGTTTTCAGGGTGTGGTTACTGCAAAAAAATGAAACCAGAATATGTCAATGCAGCAATAACTTTGCAAGCTGAGAATGTAAGTTTTTTAGGTTTGATATCTTTCATGATATTGACAAAAACACAGTTTTGATATATAATAAAAGTATTTCAGTTTTATTAATCAAAAATATTGCCCTAGTAAATATATTTTGAGAAACTTTTTATATACAATAAAATAAGAAAAATAATTTTTAACTAATAGTTTTAATAGTTTATATATATATATATATATATATATATATATATATATATATATATATATATATATATATATATATATATATATATATATATATATATATATATATATACAGGCCTTGTTTTAAAGCGTTATGTATAGAGCAATTTATGTACGTCTTAAGCAATTTTACATAAGCAGTAAGCGTTTTTGCTTAAGCGACTTTTTATCATTTTTTAACTTTTAGTTTATTCTATAAGTGTTAAGATAAAAGAAGTAATTAATTTTGAAAAAAGTCACATTAACTTTTGAATGACGTTTATGTAAAAATATTTGTTACAAAAGTTTGAATGACAATTATGTTTGATATAAGCACTATTTACAAATAAAATTAAAAGTTTATTTTTATTTTGTTTTTATTTCATTGTAATGATTGATTTTAAGTTTATTAAAATTAAAGTTAATGCTTGGGTTAAACTTATCTGTCAAATTTATTTAAAAATATTACTAAATATTATTTAATATTAAAATTTTATTTGTTCTTAAAAAAAGAATTGTTTTTTTGGTTTTCGTTCATAAACATTTTTTTTTTTTACTTAAAATTAAGTTTTAAATAAACAGCTGTATCAAAAGTTTGCACAAAGCGTAAAACTTTTTTTTAAAGCGGAAGTTAAATTACAGCGATTATTTTTTAATAAACAATATACAGTGATATAATTTTAATAACAAAATAATAAAATATTACACTTTTGATAAATAGAGTAAATAAATGAATGTAATTTTTTTATTTGTTACTCTCTAATTTTTTTAAAAATAAAAAATCTGTAGTTGCAAATTTGTAGTTGCAAAGCTGCAATTAGAAATTTAAGAAATAATCATTTTAAAAACTCAAAAATTTAACATATTTTAATTCATTTATGCAAATATCAAGAAAAGAAAGAAATTTTTTAATACCAAACATTTTTAAAAATACAATATTAAATTCAATTATTTAATAATAAAATAAAATAAAATAAACATTCCCTTATAGTAATAATAAAAAAGCTATTAAATATCATTTACCTCAATTAATATGAAGCAATAAATATTATTGCAGTTGCAAAGCAATTAATATTATTGCAGTAATTTAAAAAAGTTAATGTCATTAGAAAGCATTTAGCCAAGTGTAAAAACCTTTCATTAGAATGTTTATTAAGCATTAGAAAATTAACTTTGTTATACTTTTGACTATTAAATTTATTCATCTAAAAGTTTATTGAAACAATTGTTTTCTTTGTTGTTTATAAAATTAATTTTACAAATTGTTTCTAAAAACATTTACATTGATTGTAAAAATACTCTTTTTAACTATATAATATTTTTCAATGATTTAAATAAAAATTTTTATTTAAATCAATTAATTTTTTATTTAAATTATTAGTATATAATAAAGTATATTATATATTATTTATATATTAGTATATTATATATTAAGTATATAATTCACTCATTAAAAGCTATTTTCCAATTTAATAATAGACGCGACTCTGAAGAGATATTTATTACTTAATCACTACACAAATTATGTTTACACATTAGCATTAATGTTTTTTTTCCATTATTAAATGCCTTTCATTGTTGTTATCAGATTTTTTATTTTGTGATCTGTTTTTTGTTTTATAAGTTTTTGTCTGGCGATGTATATCTTCGTTCATATTGGTGTTTATAATACAATTATTTTTTTTTCTTTTTTTTTTTTTTTTCTTTTTTTTTTATTGTTATTATTGTTGTGGGTGTATAGCCTGTCTTGTTTATTTTTAAATATTCCTCTAATTAATTTTTATTTTTGTCTTGACAACTGTCAAAATATGCTTTGTCTAATAAATATTCTCCTTTATTCTAATGTACTTCATTTCTTCCCTCAGGCGTTCACTGCTCGTGTGTGACCATTTGGCAAATTTTATATGCCAAAGTTTTTAAATAATTATTAGTATATAATAAAGTATATTATATATTAGTATATTATATATTAAGTATATAATTCAATCATCTAAAAGGCATAGGTCAGGTATAGCATGCGTCAGGAATAGCATGCGATTGCATGTCTTTCCTATTCACGACTGTGTATGTATGTATTTTGTTAAATAGGATCCAATAAAATCCATCCAATAAAAATGCTGAATCAAGATTTTTTCTACAAAATCTTGTTTCAATGAAACTATGAACTTAAATTTTACAAATAAATTTTTGGATTTTAAAGTCATCTGCAGCAATTGTTTCAAGCAAGTTCTTTGATTGCATCCTCTGTGCCAATTCCATTGGGTCGCTTCAAATGTTTAGAAAAGAGTTAGAGTGCTCTTGAAACAATGATTCAATGCTTTTTTTTTAATTTCTTGATGGAATGCTTGAGGAGTTGACTCCCATTGTCTGCATAAATTAAATTTTCTCTTTGAAGAAACAGCAAAAATCTTGATTTACTCCTATATAGCGGTCAAAAATTGTTTTTATACCTGCTAGCTGATTTAATTTAAATCAGGTAGCAGGAGTAAAAACAATTTTTTGTAAATTTTTTTTTTAAACTCTATTTTGAAAACTTGGAATAAAACCAGGATACAAATAAACACACCTATGTTATTTAACACATCAGGAAATTACACAATGAATGTCAGGGATTATAGAAACATGTTATTTTGAATCTATCTATATACTATCATAGTTGAGACAGTAATAAAGGAGAGAAAATTTTTAAAAGATTATATTCTAATACTTACAAAGCTGCCAGTAAAGTTATATATATGCTTTTTGTGATGAAAACATCCATAACAAAAGTCTTTAAGTCATGAAATTAATGCCCACCATGAGTATTGTGAAAATTAAAAAAAGTTTCTAAAAGCATAAAGAAAAAATAATTGCAGAGGATGGCAGACCAATAGATCATATTTTTACACTTAAAGTGTGTATCATTAAACAGTAGCTTACCCACAAAAAGTACAGGTTCAACAACATCAACATCACTAGTTAAAAGGTAGGACCATAGTATTATATATTATTATCTAAAGTTGAAGATGCACTTTATTGGACAAGTAACAAAATATGTATTAGAATTTTATTCATTTACATCTTAGTTCTAAGTTCTATCAAAAGGTTATGAATAAAGTATTGCAAACGTTTTACTTTGTAATTTGAGTCATTAGATTCATTTATTATCCTGGTCTTACTTTCAAACAGAAGAAATAGGACAATTTTACTGATCCTAGGTGAGAAAGAATTAATCAACTTATGGTGGAGAAACAAGTTGAGCGTGGTGCTACCAGGAATGTGGTGGGGATCAAATGCATATTTTTAGTTTAACAATTTTATATTTAGGTTATTGCAACTCTTGCTGCAGTCGATTGTACTCAATCACAAGCTACGTGCAATAAGTTTGAAGTTAAAAGTTACCCAACTATTAAATATTTTATCAATGGAACTTTAATGTATGGATTAAACACATACAAAGCTGATGATATTGTTGCATTTATGAAAGATCCAAAAGAGCCACCACCTCCTCCACCTGCTGACTTGCCATGGGCTGAAACATCTGGATCTGAAATACTTCATTTGTCCAATGAAAATTTTAAAGATGAAATGAAAACAAGAAAACATACTTTAGGTTTTATTTTTTAGATATTTTTTCTTATTTCTATTTTATTATTGAACTGATTTATTTAGGTGCATTTATATAAAAATGTTTTATGTATTTTCTATAGAGTATTTTTAAAAAATTTGAAGTAAAATTTATATAGAAATATTATTATATTTCTATATCATATTTCTATTTATATTATAATTAAAAATTTCAATAAAACTTAAGTAACAGGCTTGGTCGGGAAGCAGGGAGCGATCGCTCTCGATTGCTGACCATGTAAATAATATTTAGTTGCGAAAAGCTGGCGAGATTTTTTAGTCGTTTTGAGAACATTTTAAAAAGCAAAAAAAAAAGTGCAAAAGATTAGTTAGACCGATGAGAGACAATTACAAAAAAAATTAAGAAAATAAAATATCTTTAAACGCAAAAAAACTTAAAGTTAAATAAATTACGTTTAGAACAAATGTTTTTGAAACATCGCTCTTTTATATTTTTTTAATAAAATTAGGCGATGTTTTTTATATAAAGTAACATCTTACGGTTGTTTAAAAAGGAAACAAATATTCTTTATTGAACAAAGTTTGCAAGTTTTGGTTTTATTTAAGCTAAATTATTTTATGAATAAAAAAGTTAATTTTTTTAATACCTATTTTATGTTTCGTGTAGTTTGAAGAGTTTAACATATTTGAAGCGATTCTTCTTAGTAAGATAAACAAATGAAATAATTAAATCATTGAATTACTATAGAAATTAAATTAACAAGATAGAAATCAACTAATAAGGTTAAAAATACTTTATGACGAGGAAGCGAAACTGCTTCACGATGTCGCTAATGATGTTTAGTGAGTGGGTTTTTTAATTTTAATTAGTATTTAAAGTATAACAAGTTTTAAGAATGGCAAATTAAGCGAAAATAATTAGAGTTAGTAAACCAATATCTAGAAACTTTTCTTTATATCTAATTATTTGCTATATATATTTGTGTTCTGTCATGACCTCAGGCTCGGTGCTTGTTCATCCGTGAGTTACTTTGTATGCGTTGTTTGTGTTTAGTAACCAGAAACTTCTTATATGTTTGTTACATAATTAGTTTTATTAACTTTAATGATTATAACTTCATTGAAAACGCAATTATTTTTGTAAGTCTTTGTTTAAATCTTAAAAATTGCTTTAAAAGATACATTACGATAAAAAACAGATACACAAAATATTACATTACATAGAGAATACATAATTTTTAAATAAAAATAAGAATATAGTAAAAAAAATCTATAATTTATAATAAACGTTTAAAGTTTTGACAATTTAATTAATAAATATTTAAAACATGAATTTTTGTAAACAAATAATATATATTCTTATTACAATTTATGCTAGAAATCTCAAAACGTAACAAATTGTGAATAATAAAATTTTTAATACATTTCAACAGAATACTCTAGAACTTTATTTTGCTTAGTCAGCGTATTTTTTGAACCAATAGAATTAGTTTGTTGGTTAATTTGGCAGGTTTTTAGTGTTCGCGAATATTCTTTTTATTCTTTCGCACCAAGATGTTTTGAGAACGTTCAAGTTTTTTATGTTTCCATGTATGTTCGTAAAACAAAATTTTTTGTTTCGTACATAAATGTTCTCAAAACGACCAAAAAACCTGGCCAGTTTTTCGCAACTAAATATAATTTCCGTGGTTAGTATTCGAGAGCGATCGCTCCCGTTTCCCGACCAAGCCTGAAGTAACAATTTTTATATACCAGATACATTAATTGTAATAACTAATAAAAGTAGTTTTAGTCTCTGTTACCTTTGAAATCTCTGTTACCTTTAAAAAATCTTTTTTAAAAGTGATTTTTATTAATTTATAAAAGATAACTTTTTACTGTTCTTAGAAAGTTATGCTGTTGTATGCGCAAAAAAAATTTAATTCCATTAGTAAACATTTGTTCATAGTTGGACAAGAAAATTGTAATAATGCATACTAAATTAATTAATGAAATTTTGTAGTCTTTCCACATGTTATAATGTGATATTGGTATATATATTCTTAAATATTAACTTTTTTCTAAAATATTAACTTTTTCTAAAATATTGGCTTTTTTTTCCTCTCATTTTTATTGCTATAAAAAAAAGCTAAGAATTTTTTTCAAATTAAATTATATAAGAATAAAAATAAAACATTTAAAATAATAGTTATTACAACGATAAAAATAATAATGATAATAACACTAATAAAAACATTAGTATAAATGTATAATTTTTCTTGTTTAAAGTGATGTTCTATGCACCATGGTGTGGCCATTGCAAGAAAGCTAAACCTGAAATTGAGGCTGCTGCTGAATATTTTAAAGATGATCGTAAGATTACTTTTGCAGGTGTTGATTGCACGGTTCATGATGCACTTTGTAAAAGCTATGAAGTATCTGGTTACCCTACATTTAGGTATTAAAGTTTGTTTATAATAACTTTTATTTAAACTTGTTTAATTAAAATACATCAAAAACACTACCCATTTATTCTTTTAAATTCTTTTTAGGTCTATGGTAATTTTTAAAGGCTATAATTTTACTTTTTTAAAGTTTGCATAAGTTTTTCTCATGCTATCTTCAGGCAATCAAAAGTAAAAAAAATCTGTTTTTACTTCTAAAGACACTTCCTGACAAAAAATTTAATGTAATGTTGCCACTAGGAAGATTTAGGGTTCATGAGTTCCTCCTTTACCCATAATCCCCGTGGCCACTGTACCATTATAACCAGGAAAGGGTATGCATACTTTAACATTATAACGAGGAAAAGGCACGTTTATGAAATGACAAAAAATTAGATTAAGAAAATCCCAGAGAGCTTCCCAGTGTACAGACAACATGAGTTCCTACTTTTACTTTGATATGGCTTGACAACTCAAGAAAACTTTACGTTGGCTTGATATCTCAAGGAGAATTTACTCTAGCTTGACATCTATGTAATTTCCTGGTTTTAGCCATCTCTTAAGTCAACTATTTAATAAACAACTTCCATAAAAAAAGTGCATAGTATTTAACATTTTTAAAAGTTTTTCAACATTTTTGGTCTCAGAATTTTGTGTTCCCAATTCCAAATAAAGTATTAGATTACAAGGTTAAAATTTGATGCTTAGATGCTGTGGCATAATTTTCTTTCTTCTTTTGGAGGTTTCTTTTTTGGAGTCAATATGTAATATGTTTGTATATATATATACTAATTTTTTCAATTCTCTTTTTTTAGGAAAAAAAATAATTCATCAACACATATTCCAATTCTGCTTTTGCTTCTAGTTTCTGCTTTATCTGTAAGATATGTAAATTCAAACCACAAAACCAATGTTTACCCTTACCTTATGTTAAAATAAGCCAATATTTACTGTTAATTATTGTTTGCTCTATTATTAGCAGTAACTGTTAAATGAAAATAAATCTGTTATTGCAAGTAACTGAAAAATAATATACCAAAATAGTATGTTAACACTAGCATAAATATTACAATAAAAGTTAAAAATTCCTAAAACTTTGAAATCAAAATCAAAAATTTTGAATTATGTTATGGAACTGTTTAAATCTGTATGGACACACAGTAGTTGCTTACTTTTTTGTTTTGCTTTGGTATCAACTCTAAAGTTTAGCAGACATTATTTTAGGTATATAATTAGTAAAATATAACTTTAAAAGTTGGTAAAGCATCTTTACTTTATACTTTAGGTATTTTTTATATGGAAAGAAAGACTTTGTTTATAAAGGAGGAAACACTAAAGAAAATTTTATTGCATTTATGAAAAATCCAGAGGAACCAATAATTGAAAAAAGTCGACCTGTGGAGCCAGAATGGAGTGAAACTAACACCAATGTTGTGCATTTAAACTTTAATACATTTGATAACTTTATCAGCAAAAATCCGTCAGCTTTAGTTATGTTTTATGCTCCATGTAAGTTCTATAGATATTTTATATTTGTGTAAATTTATTTTTTTCTATTCATTATTCCTATAATCTTTTTAGGGTGTGGCCATTGCAAAGCACTAAAACCAGCTTATACAGAAGCTGCTGAAGAATTGTTGTATAAAAACCATAAGCTGTGTGCTGTAGACTGCACTAAGAACCAAGATTTGTGTAATGAACACAATGTTACAGGTTATCCAACTATCAAACATTTCTATAATGGAAAGGTATCACATTATAATGGTGGGCGGTCTAAAGAGGACATAATCACTTTTTTGAGCAGGTAATTTTGATCGATATTTATCATTCAAAAATGTTTTGTAAACTCTCTCTCTAATATTAACATTTGTATGAATATAAATTAATTGTAGATAAACTAAAGGCTATTTGCTTAAGTAACCATATTGAATTTAATGTCATGGAAATCAATTAATTTCTAAAGAATTATTTCTGTATTTAATTTTAGTATTAAAACTGAAAAGAAGGTGCCAACAACAAAGAATGAATTTTGGGATTCCAATGATGTCATCCATCTTGACGATGTTACATTCCCTGACTTTATTAAGGAAACAAAAATAGTTTTGATAATGTTCTATGCACCATGTAGGCAGAAAAATTTTTAATATTTCAAAGTAATTTTGAAATAAAAATGTTAAAAAATAAAAAATAGTGATAATTAAATATAATAATATAAATTTTATTTATATGTTATTAATGTATAGTTTAAAAATACAATTATTAGTAATAACAATGAAAATAGTAATGTTTTCATTTTTAGGGTGCGGCCATTGTAATAAGATGAAAAGTGATTACCAAAATGTTGCAAATATATTTCACTCACAAAAAATTGTATATATTTCTATTGTTTTTTTTTTTTAATACATATATCCGACATACATTACTTGCTTTTATTTTTCTTATTTTTTGCTCTTCTATAATTGTTATTAATTATAATCTTCATTTTAATTATTCCAGCTGAAAGAGAGAATTGCTGCTATAGATTGTGTTGTTAACAGAGCAACATGCATTAAGTATGATGTTCATGGTTACCCTACACGTAAGTTTTAAAAGATTTTTATTTTTTGCTAAATTTTTTAGTTTTTAAATAAAAATTAGTTTAGTCTTTAGTTACTATATTAATATTAATTTTTATTTTATAATATTAATATTTTTTTGATTTTTTATATGCATTGGTTATGCTTTGTTTGCTTGTTCTTTAGTTAAACTCTTTAAGTAAGTTTCATTTTTATATTTTTTGATTTTTTAATTTTTTTGTTTTTTTATTTTATTTTATTTGACCTCTTGTTTTATAGGGATGGTGAAAAATATGCAGACTATGAGGGAGGAAGAACTTCTTCACAAATAGTTGAGTTTGTTAAAAAGTGAGTTTTTTAAAATGAATAACAAAAGTGCATGCATTTGATATCATTTCCTAATACCATTGTTTTTGTATTAAGAGTTTTTGAATACCAGTATTACTGATGCATTTTTATCTTACTAATTGCTTATTTTGCAATATAATTTTACAACAGGTTTAAATATATCCAACTTCTTCTACTTCCATCCAACTTTTTAAACAAATTTAAAATTGCATGTTTATGGACTATATCTATATATAATGTGAAGAAAAAGGTTTGAAAGAAAAAAGTTTAAAAAAATGTGATTTAGAGAACGAAGGCTCATTAAATTTCATTTTAGAATGAATAATAAGATTTTTTACTTTAATTGTTAATGGAAAGTAAGTTTATTATTATCCAAATAAATCCTAAGTTATAGCAGAGGGGTGTTTTAAACCTGTGTTTTTAAATTTTTAAAATGTCTTATAAAAAAATAAATATCAGAAGAATCATTTATGAAGAAATTGAACCTGCTTAAAGATTAAGCCTCTTTTTTTAATTGTCATATGGTTGCATCTCTTTCTCTTTTCTACAAATACTACCATAAATGCTGCTCAAACTATTTATCTCTTGTTCCAATCAAAACTCAGTTTTGCATAACTCATCATTCAGCTAAAGTGCATCTTTTTACTGTAACCTTTTCTTCATGCTCAAAGCACATTCGTTTATCTATTGTTTTACTTCAAACATTAGTGCTTTGAAATTCTCTCCCAGCTTTATGTTTTCCTAACAATTTTATTTTGTTTTCATGTTTTTTAAGACTGTTAAGTTGACTTAATTACCAACTTAATTAGCTTGCAAACTTGTTGGAGGGGAATTTTTTTTTTTTATAAAAAAATATTTATTTTGTAACTTTAAAGATAAAATTAATAATTTTGTAAAATTAAGTTAATTTTTTCACTTATTATTTTTAATGCATTACTTAAATGTAAAATAATAATTATATAATATATAATAATATAAAAATAATATATATAAAATAATAATAAAACTCCATATAAAATAGTTTTTAAAGGAAGCTTTAGTTTAAAATATTTTTTAAAGAACTATTTTTCTACTACTACTAAATTTGTATTACTTAATTTTTAGTTCTCGTCATTCTACGCCACCAGTACAAAGTTGGTCTAATGAAAACACAGCTGTTATTCATCTTAATGATGATACATTTGATTCCTTTATTGCAGAATATTCATCTGTATTGGTTATGTTCTATGCTCCTTGTAAGCAAATTTTTGATAAAAATCTGTTGTTGTTTTTTCCAATTTTTTTTTAACCTTTTTTTTTTTTACTATCTTCTCCCTTTTAATGGCTTTTTTCATAAAATAATATAAGTAATCAAGTAATTAGGACAATATAAACTGATGTACAGGGTGTGGCCATTGCAAGAGCATGAAGCCAGCCTATGAGAAAGCTGCAGAATATGTTAATCTTAAAGAAGAGGTAATTAATTGTTAAAAAACAAAAAATGTTTTACTTTTCTGTGGTTTATTTTATTTCTGTTCACTAGGTTCCTGGTAAACTAGCAGCTTTTGATTGCACTGTTAATAAAGTTGTTCCAAAAGCTTTAGCTTTACAGGGATACCCAACTTGTAAGTAATTTATATTTTGCAGTTTTTATTTTTTAAATTTACATAAAAATATTAATTGCATAAACTCATCTTTAACTGCACTAACATTTTATCTTTTTTAACTACTATTTTTTATGCTGAAAATATCACTGTTGTGATATAAATATCACTGTTGTGACATAAATATCACTGTTGTGATATAAATATCACTGTTGTGATATAAATTTGTAACTATTGATAAAGTTAAACTTAAAAAGAAAGTGAAAATTAATGTAAAAAACTTTTTATAAATCATAAAAAGACATTCCTGAGAAGTTAAACCATTTTTTGTGTGTGTTTGTGTGTGTTTGTATCTATCTATATACAATACAGGTCATTTTAAAATTTTAAAAAAGGACATTTTCCCTCAAAATTCATTAAGTTTGCAGTTATATACTTTATCTTTATTCTTTAAATATTTTTACATATATTTTTATTCTTTTTATATATTTTTTTTTTAGCCTATAAAAAATAATTACATTCAAAAATGTTTAGACATAAAGATAGAAGTTGAAGTTCTTAGATCATTCAAAATAGGTTTAATAAAAATAATATATAAATAAAAATAATAATTGAAAAGCTTTTTTAAATACTTCTTTCGATCGATTGTTCGTAAACCAGATAACTAGGAAGATTGAAATTTGTAATAATCATTGCAGTAAATAAAAAGGCATTATAAATTTAAAAAAAAAATCTTTTTCATTTTTTTATAAGATGTTTTTTAGTTCTTACATTATTTTTCCTCTCAAATATAAAAATCTTTAATCTAGTTTCTATATACATTACATATATTGTAATAAGTACAAAGTTTTGGATTTTTTAACTTCATACTTAAGGAATATTCTCATTAAGAGGATTTTACAAAAATGAACATAGAACATATAGTGTTTCAATGTTACTTTCTTATATGATAACAAAGAAACTTCTATGGTTTAGTACATGGTTCCTTCAGTCCACTCCCAATTTAATTTCAAATCCCAGTGACAAAAGTTGAAACTTATATTTGTTGTTTTGAACATCAACAAGTAAATTTTTAAATTGTTATTTTACATGCGAATACAAAAATAAAATAAAAATGTTTTAATGGTCTGGAATTGTTATTATGTTATCATTTTATAAAAAATTTTTATCATTTCAGACATTATAACTAGAGGTGTACCGGATATGCAGGATATTTTAATATCCGTTATCCGGCCAAATATATAATATATCCGGCTGGATATGCCGGATATTACTTTGTATTTTTTTTTTTTTAAAGCCTTCAACTAAAAATTTGATGATAAGCTTGTTTTTAAATAATGTGAAAACTGCTATTACTGCTCTAAAGTGTTTTTAATGTACTCTGTTGTAGTTACAAGCATATCTGTTTCTTTAATTTAAACTCTCCTATGCTCAAAGGGGCAGAACAAAGTTAGCAAAATTTTAAGAAATCTTTTGATGAACACATTTACATCAAAACTTTTGGGGGTGGAAAGTTGATTATCTAGTTTGAGTACTCTGAATTAAAATGATTTACTGGCACGCTGCTAAATAGGAGCTAACATCATTTTTTTAAGTCTTAGGCATGATATTATAAAACTTTCTGCAAACTCCAAACTTTAGTATGTTTATGCTTGTATAGAATGAGAATGTTTTGTATCAAAAACAATGGTAATTAGAGACTGGGAACAAAACTAACCTGAAAAATTTATCTTGACCACCTCCACCAAATGTGAGGGAAATTACTTGATAAATACTTCATTACACTATCTTATACTTAAGTTAAGTTTATTGAGGCTTTAAATTCATCAAATAATTAATCTTCTAAAGTTATAAAGATGTTTAATTTATTATGCCTTTATTATGGGGAGAGAAAAAGCTTTACATGGTCATAAATTTTCAAAAAAAAAATTTTTAGGATGCAAAATATGACCAAAATCAAAATTTTAAATAATTTGTTTTGCACAAAAATTTTATACCAAATAATTAAAAAAAAAAATTTCTTTCTCTCTTTTGGTATTTTGGCAAAGATTTTTTCACTCAATATATTCCTTGTCTTTTTTTTAAATAAAAATTAATTCTTGAGTGAAATTCATAAAAAAAAAAAGATGGTCTAACCATAAAAAAAAAAAAAGTTGGTCCAGAGAGTACATAAGTACTGTCTGGACCCCTTGCCCCTTTATTACACATTTGCTCTCTTATTCCTACCCCTTAATACACACTTGCACATTTTAAGATAATATTTGCACACTTTTAGATAATGCCTCTTTATGAACTTTGAATGAATGCCCCTAGATTCCAATGCCTCAGAGAGAATATGGGGGGGGGGGCGAGAGGGAAAGAAACAAAAAGTCTTAAAAAGTCAGTAATACTATCAAAGAACAAAACAAATAAAATTTCAACAAATGAGTCAACGCAAAGAGTCATTCTATTTTTCTTCCATTATGGTGAATAAACAAAAGCATCTCTCCTGTTTTAAGCAATAACTTAATCTTTTTTTTTCGCAAAAATTTAACTTTTGAATGAATGACCATTTGATCACTATTGCTCACTAATTTTTCACTATAATTCACTAATCACTTCTAAATTTTGGAAAAAGAAAAAAAGAAACAAAAACTTTTGAAGAAGAAAGTAAAGGCTTTATTACAAATAAAAATAACAGTTACAATAACTTAAAAATGTATGAGTATTTATATAATATATTATAAATATATATATAAATATATATATATATATATATATATATATATATATATATATATATATATATATATATATATATATATATATATATATATATATATATATATATATATATACATATATACATAAAATAAGCTACATTTACTATAGATAAAATTTTAACTTTTATATAAAAGTTAACATTTTTTAAGTTAGTTATTTTCAAACTTAGTCGTATATATCTATAGTAAAGCTTATTTTATGTAGTTTTAGTAGTTACTAAATGTTTAAATCTCAATAGTAATTATTTATTACATATAAATAACATAAGCGGCTGTCCATAAAATCTATTTATGACCCCTCCGTCCTTGTGTGATATCCCCTCTTGTTTCTTTTTCCCCCTGTTATCTTGACCTCCTCTTTCTCCCTTTTGCGTAACATTATTTTTAGATGTAATATTTGCAACCTAAATCTTATTAAAATCTTAAAAATAATTGTTCTAAATAAAAAATTTATTATTTAGCTTAACTAAAGTAGCGTACGCTCCTTTAGTTACAGGCCCGTAGAAACCGAGTAGGCAGCAGAGGCATTTGCCCTCCCCCCTCCCCCCCATAATTTTTCAAATGAATAATTTTGCAGAAATTGTCTAAAAAAATGACTTAAACAAGAAAAAAGGTCCTTAAAACTATTGTGGTAGTACTGCCCCACCCCCAATATAATTATTTTGTTCCTATGGCCCTGTTACACCCATAGTGAAATTCTTCTATTTTAAAAATTCCTAGAATTCCAACAAAGAGACGCCATTTTAAACCATTCGCTTAAGTTCAGAGAAACTGGATAAACTCAAACATAAGTAATATTTAAGAATGTCGGTCACGGCAACAGTTAGTGGGGCATCACTAGGGGAGTGGGCACCTTTAGAAACCTTGTCCCCTCTTATTCTTTTACAATATTTAACATATCTGGTATATCCGGCATATCCGGCCGGATATATAAATTCATATCCGGCATATCCATATCCGGCCGGTTATGTAAAAATATCATATCCGGTACACCTCTAATTATAACTTTAGAATTAAGTTCTACAATGACATTTTATGCAAATAAGTCGATGACATTTAAATATAAATGTCTTAATATTTAAATATAATTGGATATTAAATGTAAATGACATTTAAAAAATGATTTTCACTATATTTCTTGTCTTTTATTTATGTCTAAACAAATTTTGTACTTTTTATCATCAAGCTTAATCCTAAGCTGTCCAAAAGATTCAATCAAACACCAGTCCAAAATCATCCCTAATTTTGTTTGTGTTAATAAACAATAGAGTTACATCATTAGATCATTAACAATATTGCAATAAATCACTTTTTTTATTTGAAAACTATGAACCACCCTAATGTACAGCTAAATTCATCCCTAAATATAAGTTCAGCTAATACATTAGAAAAATATAATAAAATTTGTTTGTTTAATAAGTTGAGAATGCCTTATTATACTTAATTAGGGTGGTTGCATTATATTAATTTGGACGACTGTTTAAATTGTGTAATTGTCTGTATATCCTAAATGTTTGAGTCAACCCTGTTTACTTGTGCGACAAAACTAAATATTTGTTGAATGATTCAAATAGTGTGTTTTTGGCTTGTATCAAAATTATTTCTAAAAAGGCATGTGATTGGCTAGCTTGAATACTCTAAACAACATTTGAAAAATAATAAAAATAAATAAAATTGTTTCCTTTGATTAAATCACTTGTTTTATTATTATTGATGGTTAGAATTACAAAAAGAAAACAACATTACACAAAAAAAAGCAACATTAGTTAAAATGTCTATAAGTTCTTATTTAGGCTTAACTTTTAAAAAAGTTTCAAAAGACTTTTTACTTATTCTATAAGAATGAGTTAAAAGTCTTTTTTTAACACATCTTATAGATTCAAATATATTTTTAAAACAAAATGTTTAATGCTTGTCATTAATAATAAAAAAGATGTTTTATTTGGAAACTTTTTTCTCAAAATTTGTTTATGATGATTCTTATATATGTAATTATGTGTTATAAATAATATGTAATTATGTGTTATAATTTTTAAAAATTTATTCTCATTGCTATTTTTTAATTTTTTTATATTGGCATATGAAGTGATGTATTTCAAGTAAGTCGATTTTTATAACTGGTAAATGTGTGCAGGTTTATGGAAATTATTTATTGATGATATTTCTTTGGTATCTTTTTTTTAGTATAAATTTATTAATTCATTTTTATTGTTGTTGTGGGTAGAATCACAATGCTTTTAATATCTTAATTTTTAAAGTTTTTTTTTTCTTTTGTTTTTTTGTTAAGCAGTAATAAACTAAAAAAGTTTGTTTTAATTGATAAAAACACTTTCATTAAAACATTTTTCATTAAAATATTATTAACAAAAAATCAATTACTAAAGATAAAAGAAAAATCAACTTTTCTAATGTTGATTAAAAAATCCTAACAACATGTTGCAACTCAACTTGATGATGCTTGATTAACTAAAATATTAAAATAAAACTTTTGAATCACTAATTTTTTTTTGTTTATACAAGATATGAAATATTTTTTGTATATACAAGATATAAAATATTTTTTGAATATACGAGATATAAAATCTTAATATAATCTAAAACAATAGTAAATTTATTAAAAAAAAAAAAAAATTATTAGAATTTTTTAAATATTTAATAGAATTAAAATTGTAAATATAACTTACTTGTTCATCTTCATTATTGTCATCATGATCATTATCTAGACCTAGCTCCCAAGTTTGAGTTTTTGTCTCATTATTAAGTTTGTTTGTTTTTTTGTTGTAAGTTGAAGAATGACCTTGTGAATTTTAATAAAGTCCATAGTTTAAAATTGTATCTTTTTAAAGAAAAATACTTTTGTTGTGGATTTAGCTTCAATGTTAAATGTTAACTTGACTAATTGTAGTTTCATTAGCATATTCACTAAAACTTACCTTTAATTCATAACAAACATACAAACATAACTTACTTATTAGGGTGGAGCGATTTTTAAAATTTTCGAAATTTGATTTGCCTGAGCTGTCTATTGGTGAAAAAAGAACCTTACTTTTCTTTTTTTTAGTTTAGATTAGTTCTTGAGGTTCCTCTTTGGATTCTTGGATTGGATTTATAAAACAACCATTTTTTTCTCCTTTTTTTGAGTCCAAGGTTGATATGGTTTTAAAAAAAAAAATCAAAAATGTTAGGACCCATCAAGAATTTAGAATCCTAAGAGAAACCTCAAGATCTCATCAAAATTGAAAAACATTTTTTTACTTTTATCTTATAATTAATAGACATCGATTCGTGTCTCAAGAATATTTATTTTTAACTTTTTTTTTTTTATTTATATTTATTTTTTTTTTATTTTTTTTATTTTTGAACTTTTTTTTTTGCTATGAAAATCGCTCCACCCTATTACTTATCACCTTATTACTTATCTACTCTTGATAGTTGTTGATATTATTTATGGGTTTTGAACACAAACTTGTGTTTTTATATAGTTAGATTTTTTCATTTTTATTGGTTTTGTTTTGTGATAATATTATTGTTATTTGTTATTGAAATATTGTTGCTATTGGTTATATATTCTTTTATTAATATTGGTTATTTTTTTATTAGTTTTTTATTGTATTATTATTGTTATTGGTTGTATTTGTTTTATATGTTTTAAATGGGTTATTTTTTGCTATCTAAATGATTTTACTTACATTATTATTACTATTGTTGCATTTTGGTTGTTTTTATTTTTTAGAAATGGTCATCAGTTAGAAAAGTATGAAGGGGATCGTTCATTTGAATCAATTGTTGATTATATGAAAAAGTATAATTAAAATTGTTATATTAAAAAACTTCTTAAAAACAAGAAACAAAATAAACAATCATCTAATTTTATATTCAATTTAATTTGAGTGTTTTACTGTGCTGTTTAGAGCTTCAGAAAAAAAAGAAGGACCATCTGCTGTTAAAGAATGGAAAGACGAGCCATCAGCCGTACACCACATAACCCAAAATTCTTTTGAAGAATTTATTCTTGAAAAAGATGTACTTATCATGTTTTATGCTCCTTGGTGTAGTCACTGTAATGGAATGAAACCTGCATTTATGCAGGCAGCTAATACATTAAAGAAAGAAAATTTTCCTGGTGTGTTAGCAGCAGTTGATGCGACTAAAGCAGTAGAGTTGGCAAATAAGGAAGGTGTGAAGGCATACCCTACATGTAAGTTATTATTCATACTTTTTTAAATTTACAGTTTCTAATTTTGATTGTTTTGTTTTTTACTAAATTGTTTATTTTTGTTTTTTAGTGCGATATTACAGGTATTGATTTTTTTGATAAAATTTAGCTTTAAAATGATTATATTTTCTATATAAAAAAATTATCAATAATTTTTGCATAGCTGATATGATTTTTTTTTTTTTTGTATATATAGTAAAGGAGAGTTTATAGAACAATTTACTGATGATCGTTCTGTAGAAAACATCATAAGATTTATGAAAAAACAAAAAGAATCTCCTCATCGTCGTCAAGCTTCTATTGACAACTTTGATTGGTCAGACATGCCTAGCCAAGTCACACATTTATCTGCAGATGGTTTCCAATCTTTTCTGAATGGAAAGACCCATGCTCTTGTTATGTTTTATGTAAAATGTAAAAAAATTTTTTTTTTTGGACAGAAAGACAAAATGTTTTGCAATTTGCATCAAAAATATATGAACTATAAGATATATATAAAACATGATATATATATATATATATATATATATATATATATATATATATATATATATATATATATATATATATATATATATATATATATATATATATATACAGAGCCTATTCTAGGAAAAATATTTGGGTGGCGATACCCCCTCATTCCGACAGACTTTAGCGGAAAATTCCAAATATGGTCGACGCTGTCGAAAACGGTCTAGAATAGCCCCTGATATATATATATATATATATATATATATATATATATATATATATATATATATATAACATAAAAATTTGTATTTATAAGTTTTAGATAAGTAAATTTTTTTAGGGTGTAATGGTTGTTTTGAAATGCGAGGGAGTGTTATGCAAGCAGCTTCACGTCTCTCCACACAACCATTATATGCTTTTGCTGCTATTAACTGCGATGAAAATGACGGTGAGTATAATACTTTTTTATATGAACTGCGATGAAAATGATGGTGAGTGTAGTTTTGGTGAAAATAATCTGTGTAATACTTTTATTATATTATATTGGTCAACGTTATATATGCTTTCATGTTAGTTTTAGGTTGTTTCATGTTAATTTTAGGTTGTTATGTTGGATTTTGCGTTTTTATTTTATTTTTATTTATTTTTTTGCGATGACTGTTAGAATATATTTTTTGCAATTTGATGTCATAATCATAATATACGAATTATATTGGAGCGCGTTCTTCCATTTTTTATTTTTTATTTGTTTAAAAACTCCAAAATGAAATAATTATAAAAATTATCTTTGGTAATTTAACTTTAAATAATTGAAAATTTCTTGACGGTGTTTTTAGAGTTTGGTTCCTTTTTTTTTCTATTTTTAAAATAATTTAATTGGTTTGGTTCGATTCTTTTTTTCTTTTTTTGTTCGGATTTTAACTAAAAGAACGGTTTGGTTCAGTTAATGCATTCATTTAGTGTGGAGCATAGGTTGTCCATGTTTGTCTCAATACCCTTTAAACAACAAACATTGTTTTAATATTTTTCTCTTGACAATAACATCAACTTCAGCATAACAACATCAACTTCAACATAACAACATCAACTTCAGCATAACAACATCAACTTCAGCATAACAGCATCAACTGCTTCAACATAACAACATCAACTGCTTCAGCATAACAACATCAACTGCTTCAGGATAACAACATCAACTTCAGCATAGCAACATCAACTGCTTCAGCATAAGCGTTAATTGCTTACTTTGTCTTAAAGAAAATCTCGCATCACATTTTTTGTAAACAATCTTAGTTTTTGTGTATAAATTTTTAGGATCAAGTTTCAGTTTTATAAAAGCAAGAAGTTATTGATAACTGTGTTGTAGTACATTTTGTGTCAAATGTACTTCATATAAACATTAAAAGTAACAATAGCAATAGAAATAAACAACCAAATACTTAACCTAATGCTTTATACTTAATATAATCAATATATTAGTATATTTTTTAATAAACATTAAAAAAAATACAAATTGTAAAGACTTTTTTCTTTATATATGACCAAAGATTATTTTATATTTAATTATTAATTATTATTTTTAAGGATTTTTAATATTAAAATAAAGACTTTTAATATTAAAAATTATTATAATTATTAATGATTAAATAAATAATTAATAAAAAAAACTTTAAATCTTCAAACTTTAAATCTGTTATCAGCAATATTTTATACTGTTATAAAAGCTGTGTCAAAAAACGCACGAATGAGAGTTAACGCTAAGTTCACTTAGTTGTAAGATGATTATTCGTTCAGTTTTACATTTATACAATTTTCTTATTTCAAATTTAGTATTTTGCAGCAGCATTGGAGTTGTGGTTTTTCCTTCAATCAAATACTATTCAAAAGGGGAGTTTGTTGAAAATTATGAAGGTATCGTAAAACCCGAAACTATAGTGAACTATTTGAAATCGAAAGTTAAAGATGAGTTGTAGTCGCTTTAATTAGTAGTTTTTTAATATAGCTAAATATTTTTTACTCAATTGGTTAGGATCTAGTTTTTGATTAGCTCTTTTATATTTTATTTAATTATAGTATTGTTTTGTTTTTTTCGTAAAACAGAAATTCATTTTGTAATATAGCAAGATATGTAACAATTTAAACTGTAAATTAAAGGAAACTAAGAATCGCCTGTTAAAATTTTTCTGTACTTTTTATTACTTTCTATTTATACATTTTTATGCAAAAATATTCTGTAACTCTAATGTCAATACTGTAAAATGTATTTGCGTTGATATTTTATGGTGGAACAAATGTAATTTTATGGAATAAAAGATATCTAGAAGTTCAAAGTAAAAATTTTGTGCTTAAGTCGAAAAGTAAGAAAATAGCGATTCTTTAAAGTTCCGTTTTAAATTTTGATTTAAAACGGAACTTTTTTTATTATTAAATCTTTTATAAATCCCAAACTTTAAAAAGATTTTTCCCAACTTTAAAATTTTGAAGATTGTAAAAAAGAGTTGTAAAAAATGCTTTTAAAAAATTACTTTTGGCTGATATTTTTGTCGTCTGATAAAGGTAATCAACCTTTTCTTTCATTATGCGCTACGGGAAATAAGTTATTTTGTATCTGTATTTTGAATAAAAATTGTAAGGATAAAGGAGGTAGAGGGTGATGAAAAAAGTAACGGAGTAATCAATTCTTCTCAATTTTTTGATATAAAGTTTAAACTATGATAAGAAAACTCGTAACGCTCGTTTGTTGAGAAGTTCTTTATTGAAGTCTTTTGCATTTTTATCACTTAACAGCCTTTTAGCGTTAGAATATTTTATTTGGGTCCGTACTCTTATTTTATTTTTCAATAAACACCGCAACTACGATTTGATTTAAAATTTAACTGATTAAACCTTGTCAAAATATCATATTTTCATGAATAAAAGAGCTGTTTTATCTAAAGCAAAATGGCAAGTCATTCGAACGCATAAAATGAAAATTAGTATTAGAGAAATTGCCAGGCGCTTAAATATTTCTGAATTCCGAGTTCGTACAAGAATAAAAAAAACACTTATCAACTGGTAGTGTGAATGGTAAACCTCGCATTGGGCGTCAAAAAATTGACAACACGCGATGAAAACATGTTTAACAAGCTAAGCAAACGCAACATAAATGAAGGAGTATCAGCTATAAGTGCATAAGTCAATAGTTTGCTGGTAGACAAAACAGTTAGTCGAACGAAAATAAGTAAGTTGTTACGCAAGAAAGAACTAAGTTCTGTAAGAAATTCTTTGTTGACGTTAACCGATCGTCAAAGACAAAAAATGGTGCAAAGAGCGTTTAAATAATTCAGTGGAACAATGTAAAATGATTATCTTTAGCGATGAGTTGAATTTCTAATTATTAACAGAAAAAGAGACTTGCTGTTCGCAAAAACACGAAAAATATTTGAAGCGGCACCTATTAAGCCGTATTAAAAAAGGTGGTGGTTCCGTCGGCATATGGGGATGTATATCAGGCGTTGGCTGTCATAAAAAATACGAAGGAAGATTAAACCAGAACGAGTATTAGGTTTCCTTCCAGTATGAGGTTTCCTTCCCCAGGTCATTAAGGTTGATAACAGAATCATCTATGAACAAAAAGAAATAGCTTGCGAGATTAATAATTTTTTTGTTAAAATTGGTCCTGAACTGGCCAATAAGATTCCAATGACGCAGGCTATATTTAGTGATTATCTAGTACCGATGAATGATAGCATTACATTTGGGGAGTTGTCTTCTAAATTATCATTTGAAGAATTTGAAATAGAATTTAAAACTCTGACAAAAAATAAAGCTATTGGAGCAGATGACATTAATGGTAATATAATTCTAAACTATTTTGAACAATTAAAAGATATTCTCTTTAAAGTTTTTAGCGTGTCAATTAATCAAGGAACTTTTCCTAAACAACTTGGCAAAATTTACCCTAATTTTTAAAGAAGACGATAGGGCTATTATTAGCAACTACCGACCCATTTCTATCTTACTTATATTTTTAAAAATATTAGAAAGAATTATGTATAATAGACTCTATAATTATTTTCAATGCATCAACCTACTATATAGCAATCAAGTTGGCTTTAAAAAGCACAACTCCACGAAACATGTAATCATTCAATTTGTAAGCAAAATTTCAAAATCCTTTGAAAATTCCCAATACACATTAGGTATCTTTATTGACCTATCCAAGGCTTTTGATACAGTAGATCACACTATCTTACTGCATAAGCTTAAATATTATGGTATAAACGAAAAAACTTTAAAGTGGTTTGAAAGCTACCTATCAAACCGTAAACAATTTGTTTCTTGTAAGGATGATTGCCAAAAAAATTTATTAAATATATCTTGTGGTGTTCCTCAAGGTCCTATATTAGGACCCCTCTTATTCTTGCTTTACATTAATGACTTAAATAAAGCTTCAAATCTACTTAGCATTATGTTCGCTGATGATACTAACCTATTCCTATTTAAATTTAAAGTAGTATTGTACTAAAATTTGCAGAAAGCAGATTCAGTCATCTATAGAGCGTTATTCCACGGACTAATAGTAAGTAAATTTTGCAAAGAATAGAAGTGAAATAAGTAAAAACAAGAATAAATTGTGTTAGAAAAATAGCATAGAAAAACAAACAGACATTGTACTTGATGTTAGATTGTGTAATTTAGTCATAATTTATCATACTGGTATTTATTCTCCTCAAGCATTTGCAGTGCAGAGTTTTAATAATGGATTCAGTGGTTTTATTTACTAAGTGGTCCACTGTTAGATGTTAATGATTTAGATGTTAATGCTTTATTGCGATCGTAGTTTTGGTTTTGAGTGTTTTTTAGATAATACTTTTGAAAAGTCTCCCAACTTGATTATGTTGTTATTTGTGAATTCTGGAGCTGTTACGGTAGTTCTTGAATATGTAAATGGTTGTTCTTTTCCATGCACCATTTTTTTTTTCATTAAAATATATAGAGATCCAAGTCAGTTGTGTAGATTGAAACTTACGTCGATAATGTTTAGATTTCCTTTATTGATAATTAGTATAGATGTCTGATTTGGTGTTTTTATGGTGCTACTTTACAAGAGAAAGTTTTTAATTTTTCGTTCTACGGACTTGTTTTTATCAGATGAAAGACTTAGGGTGAAAGCAAGATGGCATAGGTTTTTTAGTGATTGATAATTAATGCTTTTCCTTTAATTAATAAACTAAATCTTTTCCAGCTTTTAATTTTTTTTGTGTCTATTTTTGCGATATTTTGCGATAGGGTTATGGGCTTTCGTACATATATAGGCTGATTTAGGGAGAAAACGCCACGATGTGATGCTACATCGAATGATGATTAGGGTTGAGACAGTGATGAGGGTTGGAGAAATTTTGTACACTTTATTGCCACATTTTACGCATTGAGAATTTCTTCATTTTTGCGAGTATGCAAAAAACATATTGTGATATAAGTTGCTCATTCACTGATATAATTACAGCACTTATGCTATATTTGACAATACCTGTTAGCGTAGCAACTACAAAAAGATAAATATTAACATCAATGATATACTGAGAATACAATACAATCATTACTACAGAATTCAAATTCAGAGATCTTTTCAGAGACATGCCATTATTCCAGTCTTTTCTAAATCACCTTATAATCTGGTTCACATTTAGGCTCGGACTTATCATAATTTTGACCTTACTTTAAAATAATCCGCTGAGGCATTATTTTTCACTTCACCTCAGGCATAATATATAGGATTAAACAATTAAAGTGGTGGTCACTTCATACGCGTTTTATAAACATTAATAAGCTATCATTTCACCTTGTTAAAACCACATTCCAGATTGACTGCAATAACAGAAGTTGTTGCAGTCAATCTGGAAGACTTTTGGTTAACCTTTGAACCTGACATTAGACAGTGCATGTTACAGGATGAAAGCCTTTTTTCTATGTATAACTATTATCGAAAGGAGGTGCAGGTGAGAAAGAGAAGTGATTTAGGAACCTAGATTAAAATGTTGCAAAAGGGCTCATTTTTTGTCGCTACGCTACAGTTGACTATTATTAGTCACTATTAAAAACATTTAATCGACGTTCAATAAACGTAACATTAAAATGTTTGTCAGGTATACACATTTCAAAATTTTGTACATATGTACATGACAACTTTTGCAATGTAAATGTTTGTTTTTATAATTAGTTCGTAGATTAATCGTTTACAATATTAAATTTACGTTTTGATTAAAACGTTTATTTATTTAATACTGCTTTTTATTTATTAGTTTTTCAAGCTTTAACTTGTTAAACTGTCCTTAACTAATATTCGTGCAACTAATATCACTTTATGTAAAGTTTTCTGTTTTTTAGTTTCTGTAATTTAAGTGCATGTCTGACTGACTTCAACAAAATCTATTAACACAATGTCAATAGTTTGGCTTAAAACCACATTCTCGCGGAAAGTGTGAAGTTTTCTTTCACACCGGTGTGTAGCTATTGTTCCTAGACACAAGTGTGGAGTTATTTTGCACACTTTTGCGGAAATCGACTTTTTATAACTCGACCTCTGCACAGAAGTTTGAACAAAATTTTACAATATAACTATAAGAGTGATAGCGACACACCAGGTGTGGAGGAAAACTACACACTTTCCACGAGTGTACACGTTGTTAAGAACGTAATTAGTTAATTTATTAATTAAGTGCCCCATGCACATCCGACGTAAATTGCTAGGTCCATTGAATTTAAATTTTTGATTTTTTAAAAAATAATTTTAATCTAAACAATTTTTTTAACTTAAATTAATTGAAAATGAAGAAAAAAAAAACTAACATACCATATATATATATATATATATATATATATATATATATATATATATATATATATATATATATATATATATATATATATATATATATATATATATATATATATATATATATATATATATATATATATATATATATATATATATATATATATATATAGGGTAAAGTAGGGTAATTTCGGCAGGGAGAATTTCGGCACCACTTCAAAAGACACCTAAAAATATTTATTTAATGAAATATCAAAACTATAATTGAGTATTATAGAAAGATAAACAGTTTTTCTAAAAATATTGGTTTAAACTTCTATTTTTACATTATAGGTACGTTATTTTATGATTATTAGCTTTTTCTTAACATTTTTTCCTTTTTGAAAATAGACGATAAATGATTTTTTCCGAAAATTTCTACCAAAAATTTGTATTTATTTCATTCAAAAATATACACTGAACAAAATGTGAGCAACAATAAAATTAAACTCAAAGTATTTTATAAGATATAAGAGTTTCC